AATGAAATATTTTATTAAGATATATGTTTAAATAATTGATTTACATACCTTGATAAACAAACTAAAATATCTGTTATTTTTCTTTTGTAAAACAAAAGTAATTGGTGCCGCAAACACATCATTGATTCACATTCAATGCTTTGCGAAGCATCGTATTTTCCGCCATGCGCGGTGCATGTCGCGAGACTTAGCGGCCCTATACATAAAATGATAAAGTCAAAATACATGACAGACCAAAGATAAATGTAGAACGTCAAATGTAATGTGTCTGATGCAACTGTTTTACTGGAAAAAGCTGTTTTTTGACGTGTCGTCATTTTACATTTCACTCATTACATTTTGCACCTCATTTGCTCTCCAGGCTTTCTACATAGCCACTTACGTACAAGACTATCTTTGATATGCAAATATAGGTTATTACGTGATTATTAACATAATATACGGAAACGACACCGAGATCAACCTGGCCCACTATAAGCCAGCACAATATCACCACAGATAAGCGAAAACCAACCTTGACAAACGATGAAATTTGGATGGTACTAAACTCGATTATCATGATTACAAAAGGTGGGGGGGGGGGTATGCAACATCAAAATACGAAATTCCAGATATCATGTTACATATCAGTGAAGAGCAGTTTTATTTCTCTTTGTAAATAATTTTAAATATAATTTTGATGGTACTTTTAACCTCTATTAAGTGACTGTATTTGACGCGGGGGTAGGGTATTCAATGTTAAAATACGGGCCTTAATACAAAATTCCAAATATAATGTTACCTATGGTCTCAGCTTTCATTTGCATACCGATGATACTCAATTATATATTTCATTTACACCTAATTTTCCATCTTCTTTCAATTTATCAAAATTGCAACTTGAGAACTGTATTAGTGAAAATATAAAATAGATGTCAAAGAAATTACTAAAACTGAATGATGATAAAACCGAATATTTGTTATTAGGCTCACGGCATCAATTGGTAATTGTGATATATTTCCATCTGATGCTGCTCGTAATATTGGCGCAATCTTTGATAGTTGTATGGTTATGGGAGCTCAAGTAAATACTATTTGTAAATTGTGCTATTTTAATATCAGAAAGATATGTAAAATACATAAATTTGTAACTGTAGAGTCTCTGGTCACTTCTCGATTAGATAACTTTAATTCACTTTTAACTGGTTTACCTTAAAAGCTTATAGATAAATTACAAAAAAGTACAGAATACTGCAGCTAGACTTGTTACTTTAACTAAGAAATGCGACCACATAACTCCTGTTGTATATACTTTACACTGATTACCTGTTAAATATCGACTTGATTTTAAGATTTTATTACTTTTAAATGTTTAAATAATTTAGCTCCTGTTTACCTCGAAGATCTGTTAGAACTTTATACACCTGGGCGAACATTACGTACATCAGATAAACTACCTTTAAAGCCCAAAGGAGATCCCGGTTTTTAAAAGATATAATAATTTATGATGTTTTATCTAATATTAATCTGTATTTTAGAAATATATAGATATATCCAGTGCCCCATAGGTCATTATGGAAAGGCGTTTTTCTCTTTAAGTTTTTAACTGAATTATGATATGTAAATGTACAACGTGTGACACTTTAATAAAAACTTCTTCTATTTCCTCTTCTTCTTCTGTGTCCAGCAAATGGGTGAAAATGTGGATTTTCCAGCCTAAACCGGTGGCCATTTTTTTTTATTTCAGACTGGGGACTTTTTGTTTTTTATAATATAAGTCGAGACCGACAATAAACCGTGGTCGGCATTTCTATGACTGGTATGATGCGAAATTGGGTTACAATGCCTGGACTTTAAGGAGGAATATGAGAAAGAAGTGTGGTTAGCACTCAAAAATGGAAGATGTTTTTGTTATGTTTATTAGCCCAAACCTAATCCATGTTTTCAATTTCAAACACTTCGCCGATTTTATAACACGGTGAATTAGTATAGTTCCTAATCCCAAGTCAATGTAGATCTTGTTGATTTGACATTGACTTCTTCTGGTGAGTAATTAAAGCAGATAAGTTTTAAATCCGCAACAATCGTCAGTACTAGTGTCTCTCATTTCAAACATTTCATGCAAATCGAGAACCCGAAGCCGGACATGCATGTTATGTAGTGTTATTCAAGTCAAATATAAATGATAAATCTTTAGTACAAGTCCTGAGTTCCAACTGCTGACTTTACTTTTCACTTCAAATGTAAAACTACTGATGGATAAGGGTAAAACAGATCTCTTAAACGGGTGTACAAACAATGTTGCATTGACATACCAAGGTGATAAAAAAAGTGAACATATTTCAGTTGAAACAAATATGTATTGAGTTACGATCAATCCAGTCTGTAAAATCCGCTGTATAATAATCATAATTATCCAATGAAAAATAGTTTATTTTGATATCTTTTTGCCACTTTCCGAGTTTTTCGAGTTTTGTATTTTCGTATAGGCCAAAATACAAAACTCGGAAAACTCGGATATTTTATTATAACTGCCATATTGCATTATTTTGGTTAAAATCTAACTGAAAAGGTTATAGATCATGTCCAAATTATCAAATAGATGTGTTACTATCACTTAATTATCCAATTAGATATGCTCGACACGTAGTAGGCCTACTGATGTGATGTCTGTCTCGATGCAACAAAAACTTGAGTGGGACACTAAATATCTAGTTATTTCCGTTAAGGAGAAATCCGCTGTATAATAATCATAATTATCCAATGAAAAATAGTTTATTTTGATATCTTTTTGCCACTTTCCGAGTTTTCCGAGTTATGTATTTTCGTAGAGGCCAAAATACAAAACTCGGAAAATTCGGATATTTAATTATAACTGCCATATTGCAGTATTTTGGTTAAATAGATGTATTACTACAACTACTTTCGCCAATTTAAAAAAAATAATATTTTTGATAATTTTCCAACTTTTTCTCTTTTCGAGTTTTATGATTTGACTCGATTGAAAACACAAAACTCGGAAAGGTCGGAAAAAATTGTCCGACTTTTTTGTTTGAATAGAAAACTCGGAAAATATTTTCCGACTTTTAAAAGTCGGACAATTTTTTCCGAGTTTTGTGTTTTCAATCGAGTCAATTCATAAAACTCGGAGAGGGGAAAAGTCGGAAAATATTTTCCGAGATTTCCGAGATTTCCGAGTTTTGTACCTGACCGGTTTCACTGATGAATTGTTAGTTAAATGTAAATAGTCATTAATAATCCCCTGACAGAAAACCGAATATCCCGATCAAGTCATTAAATAATATATTTTCCCCGACGCCGAATTACCGATGGCACGCATAGGTCATGCATGACCTTTCAATATTTGGAATTAGGCCTTGATGCGCAAGATTTAGTTTTAAATAGTGTTTACCGTTATACTTTAGTATTTCATAGACATGTTGGCGTAAAGGCTCAATTTTAAAAGTAGGCCTATGCAAGGCTATGACATTCTCAATTAGGGAAAAAGTTTAAACAAAATTTTACTTTATAATACTGTACTCGGGTGACGAGAGATACAAGAACGCGGCTACTAAAACCGTTGAGACCATAATATGGTGGTTTTGTCGAGAATAGGTACCTGTTCTACACTGATTCGCCCACAGGTATAGTTTGTAATAATATGATAGAATTGTCGTAGGTCTTAAAGACGGATGACCAAATATCCATGGGCTGTGACATGTACAACTGGGTCAATAATAAATCACTATTACTATAAGACTAAATATGCATGGGCTGTTAGGCAATTACAAGTTTTGAAGCTATGTCAACTGTTAAAGATGGTAGGCTATTTGGTTCTCCAAACCTAATTTGGTACAATTCAAACACTGTTAAAAGCGGACATAAGAGAAAATGATTTACCGCACTGAAATGGTCAGCAATATAGGCTTTTAAGTTTCACTTAAATTGGAGGGGGTGGGGGGGGGGTAGGTTATTGCCATTTAAACCATGTAAACACTAGCTAAAATTTGAAAATACATAAATCCATTTAAAATTAGCCTTTATCGCTTGCAGTATGTTTTCGGCAAAGGGGGTAACCCCGTAACCGAAGGTTATTTGCGGAGTACTTAATATTGATAGGGGTAGTCCTCTCATGAATCCAAAAGATTAACATCAAATCTGGAAAAGATCTGTTAAAAACTGTGGCCTATGGGGCATAACTCTGGAACGAAAGATCGCGAAACGCTCTTAATCTCAATGCTTCGAACCAAATTTGTAAAAAAAATCGGTTAAAAATGTAGCCTTTATCGCGTTCGCAAGGTTTCCAGAACAGAAGGCCTTTTCTACACCAAAATTAAACTCAGAGATTGTTTTATCGTTAACCGATATTTTAAGTTTCATCTAAATCGGAAAAACAAGTGTTAAGTGTCCCTAGTTAATTGATGAATTCAAGTTTGATGCGCATCCGTTCTGGAGTTAAGCCCCCCTGCATTTCACACAAAATTTGTGACATACAGAAGGCAGTTTGTGAACCTTCCAGGGGCGACAATTTTTGTCCGATTCAGGAGATGAAAATTAAAACATGTGTTAAGGATCAAAAGTTCTTGGATGAGATTCACTTTGGTACGCATCAGATCCTCCATTCTAGAGCTATAGCCTCTGCTATAGAATGTGAGAAAAACTCTATCCTGTCGTGTTTAATTACCCAATCTGATATAGGTAAAACGGAAGTCAGATGGAATGAAATATACTTCTCGGTTAACTAATCGCGATCCTCACAACTGAGTGTGTGTGTGTGGGGGGGGGGGGTCTCTTAACCCAAGAATTAGTATGGTGCATATCAGGGTTTTTTCTTCTGAAAGTCTACGTTCTACTGCTAGGAGTCTCGTTTCTATGTCAAAATCAGGCCTCATCCAGTTACGCTACTGTACCTAACCGTAGACGTACTGAGCATACATACATGGGGTTTCGAATAGAAGGCAGGACTGACAAAAATGTCACCCAAGTGTAGATTTATTTGTTAGAATTACACACGAAGTAGCTGTTATAATATAAGTTTAATACATGTAAATTAAAGAGCTGAACGATACTGAATGATATGACAAGACAATCTTTACAATGTAGATGGATATTAGAACCTATAGTATAATACCTCACTGACCTGGCCGTTTAAAGGGCGTACGGCACAAGCTCAAATTGAAACTTTGTTTATTATCGCAGCAATGGAACTTGATACTATCTATAAAACACTCATACCTTCGTTCAGAATAAAGTAATTTGAATGAAAATTTCAAAATAAATTTCCCATGATCTATTTTTAAACTATTAAAGCAAGAACGACCTGCCCGTTACCTAAATCTTACATAATGCACCTTTAACTACTGGTATTAAGCCACCAGCGTGCCTCGAAAATTCTAAGACCAGTCCCTGACGATGAACACCTTATAGTTTCGTTATTTCTATTCCACACTTGTAGGTGACAAGGTAACAATTTTTTTCTTGTTGATCAAAGGGGCTTGAGGTATAAATATATCACTTACGTTTTCATACATCAAAAAATAAAGTCAGGATTTCTGAATTAACAATTAATTGTATTTATTATCATTAAAATATTCAATAAAATGGTAAATCAGATATTCTGTCAAAGATTTCTATCAAAATTCAATAAAACGGGAGTGGTGAATTGATATTGCTGGCGGGGGCAAAGGCTTCTGGGAACTACAATTATATAAATTCATACTTTTTCTATGCTGGGAAAAGATATACATAATTACTACCAGAAGTAATCGCATTGTAACAGTGCAGAGAAAAGGCGGTAGCTTTAAATCTAAATCATCGCGACTTGCTGACTTCCACAATAATAATTTTCACAGCAAACCTGTGCCTCGAGTCTTACTGAAAAATACAAAAAATAGGGCTTTGCAATTTTCAGGTAAATTTTCTCTAGCAGTAACAAAGTCGGTATGTCGTATATAAAAACAGGGGAGGGTTCTTTTTATCGAAAAATTTGGAATTTAATTGTCCCACAATAGATCACATCAATAGATGTTTCACTTCGACTAAGACGAGCATTACCAGTTAGTTCCAAAGAATGCATCTAAAACATTTGCCAGATTGGCCACTACAGGCTTTTTGGTGAGTTCAGTAAAGAATTTAAATAAGCCCAGAAAGTTTGCTTTCTTTTTTCTTAAAAAACCCTCCAAACCTCTCTTAACTTGTAAAGCAATTTTTACAAGATTTCGATGATAAAGGCAAACACTTTATAAATAATTGACGAGCAAATTTTTAATCCACCATGAAATGAAATTTTATGGCACGTCAGCTCCAACTAGGCTATATATCCCCAAACATGTAGTGAGATACAAGACGGGCTAAATAATATCAAAAATCAATACAAGCCCCCGCCGAAATCCAGAAATAAATAGATGACACATATTAATTAATTGCACGTTAATCTTTTCAAAAGTATCGAGCAATCAAACTGATAGAATCAAAGACAAAGAAATTGCTTAGATCTGCTTAGCTTTAGCGGAAAATGTTAATCATTGCACTCAGTCAAGACATTCGCCTAATAACCATCAAGTTTAAACATTTTACCTCACTTAAAGGCAGAGTTGTTGTGTACCAAAGTCTTGACAAATTAAGTTGTTTATCGCTCCTTAGTCTAAGCAGAAAATTCTCATCAAACTTAGTCAAGGTAATGATATAATGAATCTATACTCGGATTTTCGTAGCGCTCACCTAATTATAACCGTGCCCAAAAGCATCAACCAATCAAACTGCTGATCTCTGCTTACCGTTAGCAGAAAATGCAAAATGCTCATCTTCTCACTCCATCAAGGCATCGACCTAATAAAAACCTACTCCAAGTGTGAACATTGTTGCTCAATTAGAATCAATCAAATTGCTTATCGCTCTGCTTACCCTTGAACAGAAAATGTTCATTATGGAACTATACGCCAAATTTCATCAGAAAATGTTCATTATGGAACTTTGTCAAGGTATTGATGTAATGCACCTATACTCTAAGTTTGGTCACCCTCACTTAATTAGAGGGGGGTTGGATGGCCGAATGGTTAGCACGTGCGCGCTGTATCATAAAGTCTGTCATTGAGTCAACTGACGTGGTTTCGAATCCCCGGTTGTAGGTGGGTTTTCTCCGGGTCCTCCGGTTTCCTCCCACTGCTAAAGACCCCTACGCGCAAGCGAATTATTGAAATAAAATTAAACCATATGTTAGTCCCGAAATGACCTGGTTTGTGTCGACTGGACGTTAAACCCCCTCTCTCTCTCTCTCTCTCTCTCTCTCTCTTAATTAGAACTAAAGTTGTCTGTAGCTCAATATTAGACTTTGCGCATTTCGAATCATTTGCCTACACCGGTCACAAATGTAGTCTGTAGGGAGTTTACAAAAATTGTGGACGACGGACCGACGGACGAACAGACACAAGACCACATTTCCGTGTGGGCGTATAAAAAGCCAACATGTGTTGTGTTTCGCTACTAAATGTTTGCATAAACTGAGATAACTCTGCGAGTTGCCAACACATCAATTATTGGGAGGCTTTCGACACGATTACTTTATTGAAAAATACCCAACGTTAAATTGAAGCATCAAGTGATGATGTCTATTTAAAATTGTTACGTTATAAAGTGTTAACAAGCAATCGAGAGAAAATAATAATCGCTATAGTAAGACATTGTCATAATAAGAGAGAGAGAGAGAGATCGGGTTTAACGCCCACTCGACACAAACTAGGTCATTTCGGGACTAACATATGGTTTAGTTGTATTTCAATAATTCGCTTGCGCGTAGGTAGGACAGGCGACCCTACTCCTTGTCACGTACAACCGGGGATTCGAAACCACGCCAGTTGACTCAAAGACAAGCTTTATGATACAGCGCGCACGTGCTGGCCATTCAACCTCTCTTGGCATAATAAGGATAGTGTTCTAAGAGAGACTTCAGGTTCCAGTTCAAAATTTCTATTCGTTCCAAACATTGCATTTCCAATATTTTATAATTGTCATCTCACCTGCACGCCTTTGTCTGTTCCCTGTATTGTACGGTCGAATATTAAGCATCCAGTGTGACGTCACATTTCTACAATGATCGGCGATTTCAGCACCAGCAAATTTTCTCAGAACGTCTAGGTTGATTGGTTCTGGTGTGTAGTCAAAACGAACTTTCGGCGGATATCTGTCCTTGCCCTAATCAAGATAGAAATGGCATTTATAAACATAAAAGAAGTATATTATAACATGTCGATAATCCGCATTTCCGCGGCCTTCCGTTCCGGGGTTACCCCCTTTACTCCATGCCTAATAGCATATCGAATATTCTCCACACATATTACACCCCGTTCAACCTTTATGTAATACTATTTTAATGATTCAGTCACAGTTAATAAATGATAGAACTAAAATCCGTTTGTGGAAGTTTCGTCATTTTTATACGCCCACATTTTCATGTGGACGTATATTGTCGTCGCCCCTGTCCGTCCGGACGTCCGTCCGTCCGTCCGTCTACAATTTGTTTGTGGACTCTCTACAGGTCACAATTCTTGTCCGATTTTGACGAAACTTGAAATATAGGTTTATCCCCAAAAGATCTCGGCTGCTTTCGATATTGGCATGTATCGGATCGAAACTTCATAGATTATGGCACCTGTTTGTACGAAAAATCACGTTTTTAGCTTGTGGACCCTATAGAGGTCACAATTTTTATCCGATTTTGTTGAACCTTGACATGTAAGTTTATTACCCAAAGATCTCAGTTGTGCATATCGGACCGTAACTTCCTGAATTATGGCCCCTGATTGTACGAAAAATCGCGTTTTTAGCTTATGGACCCTATAGAGGTCATAATTTTTATCTGATTTAAAAAACCGTATAATTATATCACCGTTACACCCTAAGGAAGGTTGAGTTCGAATTTCGTGAAAATCGGACCAAAATTGCCGGACAAAATGGCCGCCGTTTGTACGCGAATAGTGTAAAAAATATGGAAATCAAGGCTGTGTACCCTGTATGGGTCACAATTTTAATTCGATTTTGTTGAAACATGACATGTAAGTTTATTACCCAAAGATCTCAGTTCCTTTCGATATTTGTGCATATCGGACCGTAACTTCCTGAATTATGGCCCCTGATTGTACGAAAAATCGCGTTTTTAGCTTATGGACCCTATACAGGTCATAATTTTTTATCTGATTTAAAAAACCGTATTATTATATCACCGTTACACCCTAAGGAAGGTTGAGTTCGAATTTCGTGAACATTGCCGGACAAAATGGCCGCCGTTTGTACGCGAATAGTGTAAAAAATATGGTGAATCAAGGCTGTGGACCCTGTATGGGTCACAATTTTAATTCGATTTTGTTGAAACTTGACATGTAAGTTTATAACCCACAGATCTCAGTTTCTTTCGATATTCGCTCATATCGGACCGTAACTTCCTGAATTATGGCGCCTGATTGAACGAAAAATCGCGTTTTTAGCTTGTGGACCCTATAGAGGTCATAATTTTTATCTGATTTAAAAAACCGTATTATTATATCACCGTTACACCCTAAGGAAAGGTAGAGTTCGAATTTCGTTAAAATCGGACCAAAATTGCCGGACAAAATGGCCGCCGTTTGTACGCGAATAGTGTAAAAATATGGTAAATCAAGGTTGTGGACCCTGTATGGGTCACAGTTTTAATTCGATTTTGATGAAACTTGAAATGCATGTTTATAACCTAAAGATCTTGGTTTCTTTCGATATTGCCGCATATCGGATCGTAACTTCCTGAATTATGGCACCTGATTATAGGAAAAATCGTGTTTTTAGCTTGTGGACCTTATATAGGTCATAATTTTTATCCGATTTAAAAAACCTTATTATTATATCACTGTTACACCCTAAGGAAGGTTGAGTTCGAATTTGGGGAAAATCGGGCCAAAATTGCCGGACAAAATGGCCGCCGTTTGTACACTAATAGTGTAAAAATAGGGTATATGTCAAGGTTGTGGACCCTGTATGAGTCACAATTTTAATTCGATTTTGATGAAACTTGAAATGCATGTTTATAACCTAAGATCTTGGTTCCTTTCGATATTGTCGCATATCGGATTGTAACTTCATGAATTATGGCCCCTGATTATACGAAAAATCGCCTCTTTTAGTTTGTGGTCCCTCTGAAGGTCACAGTTATTATCTGATTTTAAAAATCGTTTGAATATATCACTGTAACACCATAATAAAGGTTGAGTTCAAATTTCCTGAAAATCAAACCAAAACTACCGGACAAAGTGGCCGCCGCTTGTACGCGAAAGGTGTAAAAATATGGTATATCAAGGTTGTGGACCCTGTAGAGGTTACAATTTTAATCCGATTTTGATGAAACTTGAAATGCATGTTTATAACCCAAAGATCTTGGTTCCTTTCGATATTTGCGCATATCGAATTGTAACTTCATGAATTATGGCCCTTGATTGTAGGAAAAATCACTTTCTTTTTAGCTTGTTCTCTATCCATCTCTCAAAAATGTGGGCGTATCCTGCCTGGCAGCCGCTGGTTTTTTTCAGTCAATGATGTTATTCGGCTACGGATAATCAAGTAGGACGGGTACCGTACTTCCGTTTCTGCCCCCTTCCCTTGAACTGTCTCTTTCGATTAATTCTATTACCATCTTTGTTATTAGTATGTTGTGTTATATTAATTCTGCATGAACCTGGAATTGTTGGTGTTTGTTGGACCCCCGGTTGCACGTGACAACCTCGTAGGTTTTCTCCCATCTGTTAGTCCTGAAATGACCTAGTTTGTGTCAAGTGAACGTTACCCCCCCGCCCTTTCTCTCAATCTTTCTGTTTGTTGAACGCGTCCTTTGCTACTTACTAGCGCTAGGTCATTTCGGGACTAACATGGTTCATTTTATTTCAATAATCCGCGTCGCGTAGGGGTATTTAGCAAAGGAAGAAACCAAAGATCCCGGAGAAAACCCAAGAGGTTGGACAGGCAATCCTACTCGAAACCATGTCACTTGACTCAATGACATACCTTGTGATTTCACATGCATGTGTTAAACCACTAGACCCCCACCCTCATATCGAATAAAAGTACGGCTTATTTCAAATATGATTGGCATATAAAGAAAGTAGAGACTTCAATCTTACTAAAAAGAAATACTGGATTCCCTGAAAAACAACCATGGGACATGGACAGATAAAAAATGTAAGGGTATCACAAACTGGCGGTCGAACCGTGAGAACACTGACAAACGTAAATTACATACTTTGCGGAAAATAAGTGAGCAAAGAATGATTCAACAATGAAATGGATCTTCCTTCTAATTACTAAAATGAAATGAGTTTCAACGTCCTACTGTTCTGCTCCGACTGGGCTAATGAAACAGGTATACACCATACAGGGGGCTGTGAGCGAAATTTTGCCCAGACAGGGTGCTACATCCTACTCTTATATTGAATTTCAACTACCAAGCGATTATTTACGTGCCCACCAATGTATACCCGGGACCTGTTTTTCGTCCCATCCGAACGACTACAGAGCTGGCCATGTCAGACCCTCCATCCTGCACCACTGACATAAAATCCGGATGAGCTTTTTCGGCCAACACCGAGAGGGAACCCGCGACCTCCAGGTTAGCGTGTCAGTACCTTACCCAGTCACCGTGGTTCTCTTCTAATTACCGCGACAGTCAAATCACGTGTCAATATTGGATGCGATAGCAAATCACGTTTCAATATTAGCTGTCATAGCAAATCACGCAGGAAGAGATCATATAATAAAGCAAATTAAAAAAGAAAAAAATGAAAGAAGAAAGGACTGGAAAAATGATGATTAGAGGGTAACTGTTCAATTCTAATAGTAAAGATTGTTGTTATGGTATTTTGGAATCTAAAATTCAGTTTAGTATACTATAAAAGTGGTGGACAATAATTTCACTTTTCAAATAGACTCAATAGATTTTAAAAGTTCATATTCAAATTGTTGTCGGTGGAAATAGAAAATGAATGGACCAAAAAATAATTAGACATTGCCAAGTAAATAGGCGTTACCTTGATGTAGTAGTTAATTTGGATTTGGAGCCACAATATTATCTAGGTGAATAGTTAGCCTATTATAAGACTTTAGTCCCAAATTTCAAAACTTTTGTTAAGGCTTTTGACCCATTTGAGCATAATAATCTGCCGGGGTCTGTACACAAGACAAGACACAATAAGTGTTATGCAAAGTTGAAACAAAATAGAGACCCAATATGTGTTTGTTTAAACATTCTGAACCATAGAATGTATATTTATTGCCCACTTCTTATTTTTAAGGCTGGGAGATCCTTGGAAGTGTATTTGATGTGTGATGATAACAACAACGAGAGAACCTTACCATGCCTTTTGAATATTAAATCATCGAATTATTTTATAATTCTGGAAAAGAATGCAGTGATGTAAAAGCTATTTTTATCTGTTTTATTTGACCTGTTTTTTTATTATTTTTTTTTATGTTAAATATCCTCCCCACACACAATTTGGTTTAAATTCTATCCAGATATTTGTGTATAATATAGACTGTAAAGTGATCTATAAATCACTCAGAATTTTACCGGAAATCATAATGTATTAAATAGACATTATCTAGACATATACACCAAATGTAGATCGAATATACACAGAATTACAGAAAACCCTTGGGGTACATTAAGGTGACTTTCTCTTGCTTATAAAATGAAATGGGGTTTACTTATTTTGGACGTTAGGTAATCTACATGTATATCCCAGTTACGCGATTAATTAAAAAGGAGGCCAAAATGTTTATGACTTACTTCATCGTTTATATCTGAGTTGTTTAGCGATCGTCAGCGAACAAGCGTATATTAGATTCATTGTCACTTACAATATCACTTATGTAAATAAGAAATAGTAACTGACCTAAAAAAATTGAACCCTGCGGTACCCCAGAAGTAATGTTGTGAAAAAAAGAACCCTTTGTTTTCGATTCGATAAATAATCTTTGACGAATATTAAAGTTTTATTTCTGATACCTATTGAGCTTAGGTTATGCAGTATGCCTTCGTGTCAAACGCGATTTGACTTTATGTTCATTGTCTATGGCTATATATATATAATCATACATCTCAATCAATTGGTAAAGAGAAGAATTGTTTGGTTGAAAGCCCGCCTGTAAAGGGTTATAAGTTTGGGCTTTAAAGTGAAATTAAAAATATGTTTGTAAATAATTTTCTCAAATACTTTCCCCATTGAGCTGAGAAGAGATGTAGGCTTATGAATATCGCCTTTCTTATATATCGGGACTACATGAGCTTCCTTCCAGCAGTTTGGAAAATACAATTTTCTAATAAAATGTTAAAAAGTTTACATAGGGGTTTACTCAAAGAGTTGGCTAAGTTTTTCAAAATGATATTATTGATATTGTCAGGACCACTAGATGTTTTTAAGGGAAAGGAGAGTAAATTCAACGTCATATCGATTTACAAAGAGATCGTTTATGGTCGTATTGTAGTTTGTAACAATGGGAGTGCATTATAAGGTTTAGAGTCTGTTACTAATTGGGACACAAAATAACCGTTCATGAGATTTGCCTTGTCAACATTTTCGAAATAAACAGTATCATTCGATTTAAGTGGCGGTAGTTTATATTCAGAATTTCTCTTATTAAAAGACACGTTGGTTTTTTTTTAATCAACGACTACCATTTTGATTCATTAAAGTTATCTTCGTTTAAAAGGGGGGGGGGGGGCATTATGGGGGCATTATAAAGAGCTGACTGTTCTCACTATAACATTTAAAATATAGATAACGTAAAGAGAATATGCTGAAGATGTCAGTCAAATTACTCCACTCAGAACCAAGATATTAGCGATTGAATTTTAGGCTAGTCTCGATCATGATTACTAAAGTCGGTACGATAAAAATCGAAGTCTCGATTATCCATTTTGACGTTAAATCATATAACAAATAAATGTCCTCAAATCCGGTAAATATCACAGGCTTGCGATGGCATCGAGAGTTGATTATGTCTAATGTCTAAGTAATAATTTAGATAACATTTCAGGCCTAAAGAAAGACCTCGGCACAACCCAGGTAATCAGGACAGCTCACGATAGTAAGGTCATTCAATGATTTCGAGGTCGGTTAAACACTTGTTGGTTGTGAGAAGTTAAAGCTATTTAATTATGAGATTATGCAGTATGCTATTTTTAATAGTAAGAAAATCAATTTTAAAATATCCTAAAATAATAATATTAAAGTCAACAAAATGACGAGTTGCACTACAACTTTTTTCTATCAGATCCCAATAATCGGTGGTTGTTCAGTTGATGGTTGTTGAACCTATTGAAAACTTTTTGTTTTTAAAATGCACTTCAATCCAAATCGCCTCGAGTTGTTTAATGATAAGATCATAACGTGGTTTAAAATATAAGTTAGATTTATTATAGACTGCCACCCTACACCCCACCATCTTCAATAACACGGGCCTGTATATCCGTGTATGCTCAGGCTATCTAAGGGTGTATTATTATGTAGAAGCAAATCTGTGTTATTATATTGAAACATGTAGAAGAAAATCGGTGCTATTTTTATATTTTATACTAGTATGGTTATCATATTCAAATACTTAGGTTGATTTACAAGACTGTGTTTGCAATATCATGTCACAGAAATTAAACTTTTTCAGCTACGTGTTCAGGCGTGGTGATTTGCTGTTATGTATTTCATTTGTTTGTATAGCGCTTTTCAGATTTTGAAAGTATTTCTATTTTGTGCATAATAAATGTTTTTATATATACATAGTGCTTGGTTTGTTGGTTGTTATTACATTTAGATTATTTAAATTATATTTTTTGGGGTATGGGATATTGTGTACATAATTATTATATTGTATAACACATTTTTATTAGTATATATTGAAATTAACTTCTGTTTATTAACATTCGAAATGTCTGTTTAGTATTGATTTGGCAGTATTAATTTAATTTTTCATATAATTTATTGAATAAATAATAATTCAACAAACAAATTTATTGTTATGCCATCAAACAGTGCAGTTTTTAAACCGAACCAAAGGGGGGGGGGGGGGGGCTGCATGGGAAAGGTTGCTATACTGGATATAAATTGGTAAAATACAACAAGTTTTTGCTGGTTGTTATACACAAGTTTCTATGAAACAACAAAAGTATCAGGATATTCAAGACATGTTTCATAAATTTTAACACAAATGATGAGTAGATTTTCACACAAGTTTGTGTTATTTGATAAAATTTAGTACATGTATGACATTAAGAGCGATTGGTTTTTAGTATATCGCTGGATCTGTTTGGAACAAGGGAAGTATAGCAGGAAAAGAGGGGATAATGTTATTAGAGCAATGGGAATATGATGACATTGACGCGGGCATTTCCATGAGTATTTGTGGTAACTCTTTCGAAATTCGAGAGAAATTTTTCAGTAATTAGGGCACTTTCTCAGAGGAGAGGGCACTTTTTCGAAAGGGAGGATACATAGCCACACAGACACACCTATACTCAGATTCGAGCAGTATCCACCATTTCCGGTTTCTTTTGGGTTTTTTTTGCACTTATGAGGGCAAGGTAAGCAACATGCCTACCCACCCAGTACACCTCTGGTGACATGGGTTCGTTGTCAAATCATAGAAAGCCAAAAGTGGTCGTATAAAAGGAAAATAAGTTATTGTTACTCACGGTATGAGATGACCAAAATTTTAGACCTTCATCAAACGTATGATCAAGGCGATCAATGTAACATCGGTTAGTTGTCAAATCATAAAAAGCCAGAAGTTTCTGAAAAATATACATACATGTATGTAGATGTAAAATAATATTAAAATGTTCCTCCACTGATCGATGTTTAAGATTCATTTCCATGATTTAATACATTTACATGGATCCGAAGTGTTGAAAATAGATTGTATGTAAAATTGGGGACATATTATGTCAATCTATATCTATACTATAAACATTTTAAGAGCCCATTTGTGATATGCAAGCTGTTCGAAGAAACTGCTCTACTATGGTTCTTTTGAACATATTATATGAAATTATATTTTATGTTATTCAAAAATAAGACCCCAAAATAGCTATAGCTAAAATCCACTATCCCGGAGCACTTTGAAGCCTTTTATGAAGGAATATAATACTTGAAAAACTTACTCGGTCATAGTTGTGAAGAGCATTCAGAGCATCTATTGGTCCAATCTGTTTATTGCTGACATAAATCAACTCCTTGTCGTAATCAACATGAATATGTTCGGGTACAGTGTACCCATCCGTTATGGCCGTGGATTTGTATTCCTGTCAAGGGAGATAAATACAAAAAGAAATGCAAATGCCCTTAAATGAATTACGGGTTGAATAATTTAAGTTGTGGAAATGCCTCCTAATGAATGAATTGAATTTGAATTGTGGAAATGCTCGCTAATGAACGAAGTGAAGTTAAGTAATTGTCATCGGGTAGCAAGAAGTATTATAGCGCGAAGTATTAAATCTCAACCTTGCTTTTAGTATTCATCAATTTCGTCGGTATTTACAAATGCACATCTTCTTTTGTGTGTCATTCAGTCTGGTTCTCAATTTAAATTAATGAAAACATGTAAAGTATAGTACAATGCATCTGGGTGGGGAATATAACGTAAAGTATAACGTACTCTCCTGAAATTAGTTACCTCGCCAATAAATTATATTTCAACTTTTCATTAATTATGGATGCTGCAAACTGCCTGGCGCTTTCAACCCCAAAGGGGTTAAATCAAACGCAGCGTATAACAAAAGCAGTAAACATACGTTGTTGTTGTTCGTAGTAGTTCACGTCCGCTGCCTCCGAAGGCGATATCGCAGACATGGTTGTCTTATTTATAGTATATTCAATTCAGCGCAGGGGTCTTTCTTGTCGGAGGAAATTGGGGTACCCGGACTAGAACCACGAGGTTGAGAAATCGACCCTACTTTGAACTACATACTGGCACTCAAGGGATTAAATCCACGACCGGTGCCAGAGGTGACTGGCCAACTGAAGCTCGAAGGCCATTCTGAACCTGCATAAAACATACAGAATTTTGCTTCTTTTTATGACCCATACGATATGTGTTTTCAAAGTATAATTTGCCCCGGTCGTATGAATGTGTTTTCAAATCTATTATCACATTACATATTTGGTCCATTCCATTAATATAGAAATATGACGTATCTGTTATTTACCTCTTTACTAAAAAGATGGTGATTGTATGCGACGGCACCAAATGTAGTAGCAGCAATAATAAGAAGTGCCACAACTACACATGTTGATATTATACACACACGATGTGTGGAACGTTTAGAGGTTGTTCTTTCTGTATCCTGAAATAAAGAGAAATGGGTTTTAACATTATTACTCATACATATGTGTTCCCTTGGGTTTAACATAGCCAACCCCTTTAAACTTAATATTGCATGAAAATTACCCGATAAAGAATCACTCGCCCTTTGGAGATTAAACTCCCAGGCTAGTTTTTGTAAAACTTATAAGTATATACAAAATGGATAAGAACAATTTGTTCAATTTACGAAGCTTCTACAAGGTATAATCTAAATTATTTACAAATGACAGCATAAATTTAATTGAATAAATGTATCCTTGGATCCTTGAGAACAACAGGTCCATGTTATGAGAGTGATTGGGTGGTCGAATCGTTAACGCGTGCGCGTACGTGACAAGGAGTAAAGTCGTCTGTCCAATCTCGTACAAGTGAATTATTGAAATAAAATTGAACCATGTTAGTCCCGAAATGACCTAGTTTATGACGAGAGGACGTTGAACCCCATTTCTGTCTCCCCATGTTCTTCTTTAAGTGGCATTTAATAATTGAACATTAACATAGAACGAAAAGACCCTTGGATGCTTTGAAAGGTATAACATAGATAATAACATTATTATTGGTAATACAAATATAAACATTTTTGACTGAACATTGCAATTAGCAAACGGCACAATTAAGTTAATGAGAATCGAATGATAACTGTTTATCATAACGACATCTTGAACGGTTTGTGACATATGCTCCGGAATACAAATTGTATATCAAATTTGTTTCCATAGAAACTTGATAATCCACTTGCGAATTACAATTATTCCTACGATGTTAATTAAGTAAGTGTGAAGCGTTTCCTTTTCGTTAGTATACTTTTTTATAATAAGAAACATGTGGATATCAAGAACTTCAAAAGGCTTATAATATCCATAAATTCGAAATAAAAAACACGAAACGGATTCAAATATGTGTCATTTTCAATAAATATTACCGTGAAAATATGGCCTCACAATATCCAATACATAATGATTATTTTAAAATAAGTAAACGACGTCATGTTCTGTGGGGCCTCGAGCGTCATTTGTAACGAACAAAGCGAAACCATATCCCACAAGGCATCGCTGAACTAATTGAAAATGGTTGATCCTTAAGTGACGCGCAGAATGGACTAAACAAGAACAAACGATTGCGATTCAATTCTGGGACAAAATGTGGACATACTAAATACACTTTATTATCTTGTGGAATTTGTTACCACATAGGCGGCCCTGAAGAGATTTTTGAGAAAGTCAACAATTTTGTGGTACTCTTGATCATGGGATAAACTGTTAATGTTTCAGGAAAATAAATAGAAAATGTTTCATAAACTTTTCAAAACGCCCCCAAGCCATACCATGAGAAGTCATTGCTGTTATTGTCTCTTGTAATACGGATTTGGAACGATATTTAATTTGATTTGTTAAGATTAGGTACAGCGGGTTTGATCATGATAAATGAATAATAGTCTGCAGTCGATGTTTTATTCTAATGTCGGGGGTTTGAAGAGGTTCTTCTGATATGCTTACAAAGTCCGACGTCCGACAAGGTTCTATTTGTTGATGACACAATGCTATGTTCTTCTGCAATAGATTTATGGAATTTTGAAGATGCACAGTAATGTGATTTAAGTGATGTGGCTATTAAATGGGTGGTAACCTGTGATCGTAATAAAATAATAATCGTCACTAATACAATGTAATGGTTCCTATAATTTAAATATTAAATTTAAAACACACATTTGAGTACAAATCTTAAACATTTAGGCATGTATACCCAGGACAATTTTAAATGGATTTGTAATATATTGTAGTAATGCGAATTGGAATTTCGGTAATACATTGACATCCGGTTTTATAGAAATAGATGTAAATTTTGGTTTAGGAGATGGACATTGGATATGGAATGGATCACATCAACACCATTGGAATTAGTTGAGGGGGAATTTATGTCATTTTATGACGTGGAAATAAAAATTAATTTTCGCTTTCCTGTAACAAATTTAGAAAAGATTGGACAGATGTTTATTATTACGGGATTTACATACTGAGTTGTCACAGGATTTCACGTTATTAAAGGTCGGATGCGTCATTTGCATTTTCGCGAAAACATCTAATTTCTAACGGCTTAATCGACACAAAATATGTTCTCAGATTGCTAATTTAACATTTAGTAAAGAAAACAAAAACAAAATATCAACACTAGATAATCTCCCGGCTCGGATTCAATCGGATTTATAAAAGGCCCATCAGGTTTCCCCGATGTCAATAATATATAGCGACGTCTTGTTACATAGCGTACAGCATGTCAATATCATATTAGTACAACCATTTTTGGACTGATATTCCTAATAGAGATTAAATTTTCACAATATTGTAGTTTAGAAGTAATTCTTATAGCGTCAAATGACATATAATGTAGTTTGGAAGTGATTTCTGTAGCGCCGTTGGCTGGCTAACCTGGAGCTGGAGGTCGGGTGTTCGATCCCTACATTGGACCGAGAAAGTTCATCCAGATTTTCAGGCGATGTTCCCCCTTGTCAGTGGTACAGAACAGGGGGCCTGGCAAGAGATAACGTATAGTCGTTCGGATGGAACGTAAAAACCGAGGTCTCTTGTACACATTGGCGTGCACGTAAAATATCCCTTGGCAGTTGATAAAAGAGTATGCCGTTAAACCCCATTTTCATTTCATTTCCTTAGCGCTAAATGACTCATCAAGCCTTCAATTTTATATACCGCTTTTTAATAAATAGTAATTATGCTATTCATTTTTGATTTTGAATTAGAAACAACACATTTGAAATCGGAGCCTTCATGTTGCGTGGCATTGACAGAATCTAGACGTTCGGGTTGTACGAAACCCGAGCGCCCGTGTACACAGTGGTATATACGTAAACGAACAGTTGGGAGTTCGAAATAAGAGAAGGCCGTAGCTCTGCTATCCTGGCAAAATTGTCCCCATAGCACGCTGTATGACGTAAGTCCGTCTTCATTAGCATAATCCTTGCAGAAAAGTAGAGCGGTAAACCCCATTTCACTATAATATGTTAGCAACCTTGAATCTACTGAAGAAAATTCATGAATGTTTAAAGTATATAATAAATTATCACAGAATATTAGTGGCGAGCATTTGCTGAAAGTAAAATATTGACATTACCTCTGGTTTCGTCTGTAGATTCACGGTAGGTGGCGACATGATTAATGCTTTCTTCCAGTGCACACAGAATTTGCAATGGGTAGTACCATGGCATCTAGGGCTCATATATAAGATTGGACAAGGACGAAGGCGTGTTTTTGTTAATTATTTCCACCAATCGCTGCATTGAACGCTAGCTCTCTATTATACTATAACACCCCATCTAAATGCGTAATCATATCTTAACGCCTCTGATGGTTATGTAGAACCCCTTGCAAATAATAATATAAATATCACACCAAAACTGGTTCAGTTTACAATTTTTCACCACATCTCCAACTTTACCTGAAAAATAGGGCTCCTTCCCAAACACAGAATTGAACCCAGGAAATGTTCTCAAAACGCAACCTGACTTCTGAGATAGAAATGTGTGCTCCATGATTTTCAACTCATGCTGCACGTGCTGTTCATCGTAACCAGCCCTATAAAATGCACCTCATACCTGGTTGAATCATTCACATTACAACGTCAGCAGTATGCCACCACTCAAGACAGCTCAGAGGAATCAGGCGCTTGGAAGACTCGACGCTGGCCCAAGCCGTTGCCAATCACTTCCAGGTCAATGTTCGGACCATCTACAGGCTTCAGCAACGCTTTCGGGCCACCAACACCACAGATGATCGCCGCCGAACTGGTAGACCAAGGGTTACCACAAGGCGACAAGAACAAGACCGTCATGTTGTGCGACAGAACGAGCAGAATCCCTTCACACAGGCAACTGAGACAGCACGAAAGACAGTGGGAACACAGGGAAGACCCATCAGTATCGATACAGAGCGCCGACATTTCACCAGAGAGAACACCCATTGCCGTAGACTTTACCGTGGACAGTCCTCACTCCTCGTCATCGACGTGAACGTCTACAGTTTGCCGAACACCAGAACTAGCTACACAGGCAATGGAGAACTGTTATATTCACAGATGAGAATTGGTATTGCGCATCAACTGCAGATGGCAGGACCAGAATATGGCGTCGACGTGGCCAGAGTTATTCTGACCAATGTGTCATGGAACGAGACAATGGTTTGGGGTGGAATCGGCCTGAACCAGAGAGTGACTCCTGTGTCTATGTCTATGTAAAAATGACTAACTATCGATAGCATTTTAAGAACACAGATACGAGATTGTTTTTGGCACCTACATACTAGTAATCATTTTTGTTTATTTGGGAGAATGATCTCCCGTTCGTCTCAGCTTTGGATTGTTTGGGATTAAAACACAATCAACCATAAAGTCATCATGTGCTGGTTCAAATATCTACTACGGGTTCTTTGATGTGCACATTTATGGCAAGGTTTGGATAATAATCATTTTATATAGCGTCGACAATTCAACTCAGCGAGCTCTACATATGTAAAACTAATATAAAATTACATAAATCACAACACATTAATCCATAAAAAAGACATAAACAAAAAACATTATTTAGTATACATGGTATACACAGCTAGAACCGTATTCAATCAGCTGTATATTTGATTTAAAAGTTCGGTGTTCGGATACTTTTTAAAACGTTTAATAGAATTTGCACTTTTGATTTCGTTTGATGTTCAATTCCATAACTTCGGAGCACAGACTGCAAAAGATCTATCAAATGCTTAATTAAGAGGTTTTCTGATTGTGATCGAGGGGTTCTGCAAGGTTTATTGGTTTGAGAAGGTCTCTAAGGTATTGAGATAAAGAATCGTCATTTAGAGCAGAATACGTATTTTAAAATTGAAATTTTTCTGAATTGGTGTCATATGTTCATTTGGTTTATTCTTGGTTATGATCCGGGCTGCTTTATTTTGAAGTTTCGGAAGTCGTTTAATTTTATTTTCTGGTAGATTGTACAAAAGTGAATTACAGTAGTCGCGTCTTGATGTAACCATAGTGTTTACCAGCATGCTAGTCGTGCCACTATCAATGAAAGATCTAATTTTTCCAATATTATAAATCTGAAAATTAAAATCTTCACAAATGGCCGATATTTGTTTATTCATGTCCAGATTCGAGTCAAAATAAACACCAAGATTTTTTACAGAATCTGTTGGTGTATTAGAGATATTGCCAATTTTTACCCAATACACAGAACGATAAGGGTAAACAATAACACCACTGGGTCATCCCATGTCAAATCAACCCAAAATATTGAAAAAGTAAACCGTATCCTCTTCGATTTTCCTATATATAATTTGATTTATATCCTCACGTGCATGACAAAGCTGATATTCCATATTGATGGTATAATATTTTTTCATTTGTTTTTTGGACATTGAGTAGAAACCGTGTAGGACTAATTTTTGAATGAAATTGTTAATCGCAAGTTCACGCCAGTCAAAAGGTCATGATCAAAGTAAAGATCATTTCGTTCGCTCGTTTCTGGAGTTAAACGTCCACTTCCACCAATGGTGATATCGTAGACAATTAAAGATCATAGAATCATTACATTTTAATACACCCACATATCAAATACAATATCTAATCAGGATTATCCTTCCAGCAATACTCATTTCAATAATTTCGAGTTATCGGATAGTCAGTTACTGGTATTTGAATATAACCGGGCACTCCTATTTTTAACCAAAATGGACAAATGTGAATGGGTCATTAATCTCAGGAACCGTTACTCCGACTGTGGTGAATTTTTAAATACTAGATTTTGCAGCTAAAATAAACATACGAACTAAATTTCAGTCATCACGCGACACTCACAGACTGAAATCGTGTGAACCTTACTTTCATTTGAGTGGATCAATTTCTTGTAGTTAATTTGAATTTTGGTATGGTAATGTGTACTCCTCTATAGTTATATGATAGGATTCGCATAAAATATTATACAAAATGATTTACAATTTTGCGTAATGTATTTGATTGCATTATATAAAATGTCATCAGTTTACGTCCTGTATACGGGAACCACAGTGGCCCAGTGGGTAGGGTGGCAGGTCACTAAATAGGAGATCTGTGGTCGGATTCTAGTGTTGACAGAAAGTTTTCCCGAATTGTGATGCATGACGGAAAACCGCGGCCCCGTGTACACATTCGCATGCATACCCTTCGGGAATACTGGCAAAATTTTCTTCTTAGCACACTGCATGGCCGTCTTCATTAGCCCACTCGGTGCAGAAAAATTAAAGATGCCATATGCAAGAGCTAAATCTTCCTATTGCAAATCTTTCGTTAGGCCTTAAATGTTATATAGATTATTAATTAGATATTTATTAACTTGCTAATACCATAATCATCTGGATGCCATTAGATGCTCGAGATTTTCATACGATTGGCGGTGAATGATTTAATTTTTAAAAAATGGATAATTGAGACTTCGTTTACTATCCAAACAACGGTAGCAATGACATTCGAGACTTCGTTATTCTCCAAACAGCCCTAACGTCGCTCAGGATGAGGTACTTTGACTGAAATTTTCAAGATATTTCCTTTTTATTATCTATTTTTTTAACAATATTATAGCGAGAATTGTCAGCTCTCTCTCCCAATCTTATACATTGCATCTATAAACGCCATTTCATTTCATTTCACATATGCCCTGTAAACAAGTATTATTCCCATGACCTAAACGTACCCCCAGTAATTCACATACACAATTAAACGGAAACGATTATTTAAGTAACAAAGCTTTTGTCAGATATCGAGAATAATTCAAAATATTAATAATACCAGTTTTGAAACTAGATATAATAGTGACTTAGTCATCTACATATAATTTAAAAAGGCCATGATATTGCACGACGGGTTTTGTTCTCTCAGAAACGTCAACAATTACGTGCGCTATTGAAGATACTTAAGATTTAAAAATAGTAGCCTTCCAATACATTAAATGTTTTTTTTAGGGTAAGAATATCTCCCGCTAAGAGAACTTTGCAAGAAGTTGCTTTATAAAACACCTGCTGAATAATATCATTATTACTGTTTATACCCTCATGACAAGGTTTTGACAGTTTAAAATCGCAAGGTCGATAGCTTGTGTAATTTGACGAGAAATAAAATAGTGTTCAACGTTTTACTTTTTACACCGACTGGGCTAATGAAGACGGGCATACGCCATACAGTAAGCTATGAGGGAAATTTTGCCCGGATAGCGGCGCTATGGCCTACTCTTACATCAAATTCCAACTGTCAAGGGTTCTTTTACGTGCACGCCAATGAGTACATGGGGACTCATTTTCGTGTCATCCGAACGACTAGCAGGCCCGTAACTAAAGACGGGGGCGGGCTGCAAATAGTTTGACCACACAACCCCACCCCCCACCCAACCGTGAAAAAATTGTCGACCATAAATATACATTGTCCTCAATTTTACAGTACCCCTGAGAACACTTCCCACCCCCTCGTTGCCCTTGGCTACTTACGGCTCTGACGACTAAACAGCTGTTGTCAGACCCTCCGTCCTGCACCACTGACAAGGGGGAACCACGCAGGTAAACCCTAACGAATTTTCTCGGCCAACGCCAGGATCTAACCCGAAACCTCTAGGCTAGCGAGCCAGCGTCGTACTCATTGATTTCACCGGAAGCATTCTGAGTAAGTTATTCTGTAGAATGTATTTCATTACTCATCCGTCTCATGTGTTAAAGAACCCACAGAATTAAGATTCGAAAATAGTATGTATTGCTGTACAACGAACTGATAAGAAATCCCAAAAGACAGTTTTAAAGGTTTTGTAGAAGTCTTGTAGTATATTCATAACGAAATAAATCTGCCTATTAAAGGACGTAAACAACCCGTTTAACCTTTCAATAAATTTATGACGTGCATCATATGGGGATAAAGGTCCACTTTCAAGAATATGCGTATCATATTGGACCACCCGATTGAATATTATTACGATCTAGAAGGATTGATTATAAAGAGATCAAATGAACTATCTGTAACTAAACCCACATTAAATATATTTTAGCACTCCGATTGAAAATTTTTAGCACTCCGATTGAAAATTAGAATGTGATACGTATGTTGTAGACTCGGCTATCTATAATATCTTGAGATATGATTACCTTTTTGTGGACATATCTCAACTGTCCCTGGATCAAACACTTCCGTATGGATGATGGACCTAGGGTTAGGGTCCTTTTGCATTTATGTACCCATAATGAAGGTCATAAATGTGGGTTGCCGGTCACCTGCTTATAAGCCAATTTATTTCATAATAAATATTCCCTTCTATGCTTTAATAAATGAAATGAGGATTTAAGTCCTATTGTTCTGGTCAAACTGGGCTAATGAAGACGGGCGTATACTTTAATAATATTTAATCGAGTGAACCCGCAGATAAAACTTAATTTGCATTCAATATAAGTTACAAGACCTATTTACCCATTATGCAGTCATTCTTGCCCCAGTTGTCTGTGGGTTTTACAAATAATGTATCCATAGTTCCTCATTGTTGGTATTGGACCGATTTGTCAAAATTCCACTCATCGACAACTTCGTGAAATGTTTTTATAAAATCATTTAAATTATGTAGTATAGGCGTATCTAGAATATACCTTTCCTTATGGGTCAATTTTGCAACTGTGTGTGCTATTGACAAAAACCGCTTTTAGGACCCCTGTTTATTTTATTATGCTCGTCCACTCATTCGTTCATATATCCTTCTTTTATGGTTCTCATTCTGGACTTTCGGAATAATTGGATTTGGATTTATTCCGGTTTGGGTTTTTAAAGTACGACTTAAAAAATACGTGGGGCTTGAGTCGCTCATTTGAAACTAAAAAATGTGACTATTATTTTAAAAGAAATATTTTCGCATCGCTTTGCTCGGCTTGCCGTTTATACATATAAACATATCATGCGCGTGTCAGCTGCAGATAAGTTTAATTGTGCTTTTACACACTACATTTGTTCGACCTGTTCGGACACAAAAACTGTACAGTTAACAAGATTTTCAAATATGTAATAAAATTGCAACTAAACTAATTGATTTGTCAGTGATATTTTAAAATCTCTAAAGGCATATATAGCTTCAAAGGCACAATCAATAGACCCATTATTAGATAAAACGCAAACAATACGATATATCAAGCGTTAACGAGCTAGAATAGATTGGTTTGGCTGGGCCCACTCGGTGTTCTTTTTTTTCTTATACATGTATCTCTCTGTCGGGTAGGTATGTGTTTGAACATATCGGCAAGAAAGAAAGCAAAGCTACGCTACAGACATATACGAAACGGAACTAAGAATGTAACAAACTGTGTATATATAACATGTAACAACGTGCTTTTAAGCCCTTTAAAATTGTGAATCAGTTTTTGGATTGTGACTATCACCGTGTAAAAAGGAGTATTTATTATACAGGACGAATTCATATTAAAACGAAAGCCTAAAAGATGCATTATGTAAGAGTTAAATTTACCTACTGCAAGTCTTTCTTAACTTTAAATGTTATATAAATTATTAAAGATGCATTATGTAAGAGTTAAATCTACCTACTGCAAGTCTTTCTTAACTTTAAATGTTATATAAATTATTAAAGATGCATTATGTAAGAGTTAAATCTACCCACTGCAAGTCTTTCTTAACTTTAAATGTTATATAAATTATTAAAGATGCATTATGTAAGAGTTAAATCTACCTACTGCAAGTCTTTCTTAACTTTAAATGTTATATAAATTAATAAAGATGCATTATGTCAGTTCTCTCTATAATAATGTAAAAATAGATAATGGAAATGGAATATATATTATCGATTTTCAAGTACTGTTGATACTATAATAAACATTTTTAAATTGAATTATTAAACGGCGATCGTGTTTCAATCAATTAAAAAACAATGATTATGGGCGTGTCATAAATGTCTAATAAATAATTTATACATTATTTGAGCCCAAAAAATAAGATTCGTAAATAGGCAGATGTAGCTCTTACATAATGTGTCTGTAATTATAAATTTATTCACATGGCAAGCTTATAATCAACTCTCTAGATTACGGCTTGACCCTGATTTTTAATTGATTAAAACACGATCGCCATTTAATATGATTTAATTTTGGATAATCGAGGCTTTGTGCATTATTGTAGCAACGGTACTTGACAATCGAGACTTTAGCTAAAACACCAATAACGTCGTTCATAATTCAGTAATGTGACTGAAATTTACAAGATATCAATTTGTCATTATCTATATTTGAACTATTATAGCAAGACAGTTCAGTTCTTCATCTACACCTCACATAATGCATCTTTAAATTGACATATTTATATTAAATATTCTCTCTTCTGGTTCATTCATAGTCTAATTCTCAATTTAAATCAATGAAAATCAGTGAAAATAAGCAGAATTTTTCTTTTCGTTTACAACATAACTGCTACCCTTTATCATAGATAAAGTATGGATACGATTGCTACGATAATTATTATATATATTTATTATCATTCAGATACTAAACTACAAAATTAATGATAGTGTTGAATTGATATTGAATTTGTTTAATATACCGCCAATAATTATTTTTAATATTAATAAGAATATACACATTTCACCATCAGAACTAATATCATTGTAACCGTGTTGAGAAAAGGTGGTATCTTGAAATTTGAATGGGTTTCGTCACTCTGAATAATACTTGCGTCGACAGATAAATGCAGTGGTCCCTGAAAATATATTATCAAGTGTGTACATGTAAACATTATTTAACTTTCCTTTCAAAAGTAAAATGAGTTATGTAGTTAAACTTCTTGTTTGTAAACGGGGAGATTACTCCACAATTTGCAAACACAAAAATACTAAACGTCAAATTGAGATCTTATCATAAAAAAAAACATGACTTTGTGATCGAGATTTGCCACTTGGACCAGGTCCGGATTTACATATTTGTATTATATCATGAAATACCCGGTGTTATGAGCTGTCACATTGCGCGACAAAATACTTTCAGTGGGGGCGGGGCGGGGCGGGGGCTTTGGCCAAAAGCCTACAATCTTATAGGTAAATACGGTCCTGGCTAGGATTGTAATAGTTTAATTTTAAGATCTAAGAATGAATTCTTGTACCATTTCAGAATTTCGGTTCCAATATAATTTTATCTCACCTCCTCCGCTTTCTCCTTCCTCTGTTGTGTACGGACGAATATTAATCATCCAATGTGACGTCACATTTATACAATGATCGGCGATTTCAGCACCAGCAAATTTTCTCAGGACGTCTTGGTTGATTGGTTCGGGTGTGTAGTCAAAACGAACTTTCAGTGGAGTTCTATCTTTGCCCTTATCAAGATAAGATTGGCATTTATAAATTTAAACAGTCTATCTCATGCAATGTAATTAATATGATATTATAACCCAGGGTTATTAACTGGGTTTGGGGCGTTGAATGTCCCAATTGTTAGCGCGTGCGCGTTGTATCATAATGTCTGGTATTGAGTCAACTGGCGTGGTGACAAGGAGTAGGGTCGCCTGTCCAACCTCGTGGGTTTTCTCCGGGTTCTACGGTTTTCTCCCATTTAAATAAAATTGAACCATATGTTAGTCCAGAAATGACCAAATTTGTGTCGAGTGTACGTTAAAAACCTTCTTCTCTTCTGTTCTTTCGCTTACACGTTCTTGTGTTGCCTGTGTGCATGTCAAACTGGTGTTCAGTACAGACCATGTTGTGTCTTATCGAAAATGTCCTATTCGTGTAAATCGGCAGGGGAAGCAAGCTTACTGCTGGCACCTAATAATTTGAGATTTTACATTTGCACTGTAAGAATTTTTGTTTTACAGTTGTTAGGTAGCATTCCAGAATGAATCTTGTTTAGAATAATATTAGATTGGAATCAACCAAATTGCCTGGCAAAAAAAAAAAAAAAAAAAAAACTATCGAAGGGTTAATACGTGTAATCTCCGGACTTGAACTAGTCTAATCTTTGATTCATTACACTTAGTCCATACGATATTTTAGTGGCATGTATAAGGTATTTCAGGTGACGAATATGTCTGACAATAAAAAAACATTTTCAAAACCAAGGTTCCGAAAAACCTGACCACAATACAGGACCGTATCATTCAACAAGAGCATACACTTCGAACTAGGTTTAATTATGACTTGACTTTAGGAGGTGCAACGTGCTCGTATAAAAGGAAAATAAGTTATTATTACTCACGTCATGAGATGACCAAAATTTCAGACCTTCATCAAACGTTTCATCAAGGCGATCGATGTAACATCGGTTAGTTGTCAAATCATAGAAAGCCAAAAGTTTCTGAAAATATATACATATGAAGATGCAAATAAAATGAAATGAATTTGGGTTACACCAACTGGGCTAATGGAGACGGTCATTCGTGTGCTATAAGAGCCATTTTGTCAAGACAGCTCCTGCTACTGTCTACTCTTATTGCGAATTCCATCTGTCAAGGGTTATATTATGTCCATGCCAATGTGTACGCGGAGCCTCAATATTTCGTCATGTCCTTTCACCACGTCCAAGAGGACGTTAAACCCCTTCTTCTCTTCCTCTCTTCTGTTCTTTCGCTTGCACGTTCTTGTGTTGCCTGTGTGCATGTCAAACTGGTGTTAAAACTTACTCGGTCATAGTTGTGAAGAGCATCCAGAGCATCTATTGGTCCAATTTGTTTATTGCTGACATAAATCAACTCCTTGTCGTAATCAACATGAATATGTTCTGGAATTTGGTATGCATCCGCTATGGCCGTGGCTTTGTATTCCTGTTAAATTGAATAAAGTTGTTTTATTCTAAAATTGCATTTCAGATTAAGAAATATTATACAGGCTGAATTCTTATATAGCAGTTTTATATATCTATTTGATATTTACAACTACATATTATTATCTCTTCTGTTAAATCACAATTTTGTTCCTGATTTGAATCTGTGAAAATAAACAGAAGTGCTAAGCAATTATATTTTTCCTGGTTATGGGATTGTGTTTTTTTTTTCAAATCTATAATTACATTATATACAATGTCGATTCTATAAATAAATCTACTTGATATCTTTAATTTACCTCTTTATCAAACAGGTGATTCTTATAGGCGGCAAAACCAAATGGGATAGCAGCAATAATAAGAAGTGCCACAACTACACCTGTTGCTATTATACACTTACGCTGTGTGGAGCGTTTAGAGATTATTTTTTCTGTATCCTGAAATAAAGAGAAGTAAGTTTTCACATTATTACCCATATATATGTTTCCTTAATACAAAATTAGAGAGAAATGGGGTTTAACATCCACTCGTAACACTCGTAACAAACTAGGTCATTTTGGGATTTACGCAATGGTTCAGTTTTATTTAACAGTGGGCCTGAGGGGGCGGATGAAACGGAGACGATAAAAAACCGTACAAGCGAAGAATTGAACCCACGCCTCTTGATTCAATGACAGACTCTCTAGTTTCAGTCGCATGCGTTAATTCACTACCCCCACCCTCACCCTCGATACATAAGCAAAATGTAATCTAAATGAAATGCCCACGAAAAAGAAAAACCAAGAAGGGGTCCGAACCCTGGACATTCTTGTTGCGGGGTATTTACCTGCATCGCCACTACTTACAAAATGTCAAATCATTTAGTTTGACTATGATGAATAAGTTCACACGTTGCATGGTAACAAAATGAAATGAAACGGGGTTTAACGTCCCACTGTTCTGCTACGACTGGGTTAATGAAGACGAGCATACGCCATACAGTGTGCTATTGGGGAACGGTTTCTCGGACAGCGGCGCTACGGCTTACTCTTATATCGAATTCTAACGTCAGGGGTTCTTTTACGTGCACACCAATGTGTACACGTGAGCTGGGTTTTACTTACCATCCGAACGACTAAATACGCTGCCCCTTGCCATGCTATATTTCCCGCATAACTGAAAAAGGGGGAACCACGTTAGAAAATCCCGATGAACTTTATCGGCCAACACCGAGATCGAACACAGGACCTCCATGTTAGCGAGCCAACGTCTTACTCACAGAGCCGCGGCGACTCCTTACATGGTAACACCATCGCTCGTACAATCATTGTTCACATAATGGTGGCCACGTTTAAACTGGTAGATTGTCAAGACAATATTTTTTAAATGGGTGATTATGTATTTAGTGGAGTGGTGTCAAATGCCAGTAGGTTTACGGTAATTCACTATCTCACGTGATAATGTGACCGGATACTTAATGGAGCGAAAATAAAGACAGTCACCAACAATATACTACTATGTTTTGTCAATAGGGCCCGTCATACATGTAACATTTAGAATCGCAATTAGCGAGGAAAGATATCTAATTACATTTTAAATTTAACTTTTGTAACATATGACTTGTCGAAACGGTTGGTTGCGTATTGTATGAAAAACAACATATAATTTGACTTGAATCAAGGACAAGCTAACGGGAGGCTGATATCCCTAGATATTAGATGACACGCATTTATTACTTTCATATAATGTACGCATTTATTACTTTCATATAACGTGTCAATTTAAAATTATCGACTCAATTAGAATCAGAAATATCGTGTCCCGAAGCATCAACAAATCAAATTGCAATCGAACTTCTATGTCTAATAAACATCTACACACCATTTGAACATTCCACCCCAAGTCGAAGCAGAGTTATTGTTTCCCTCAAATTTGTGACGACCAGACAGACGGACGAACGCATTGTAATAGTTACCTACTTTCTACGTAAGGCGGTTGACAAAACATCTGCACAAACATCTTAAGACAAGATACCGAAGGATCGCTATTGACATACATTCTAAAACGACGCCCTTGAAACGTTGCATTTCAAAACACCTTCACCTCTATTTTGGACCCTTTCAACTCTCAATTTTGACACATTTATAAATTTACTATAGTAACAATTCTAAATACAGACTAACATTTTACCATAGATTATTATTGGTAATTTTATGCTGAAAGTATCAAATTTAAATTACCTCTGGCTTCGATTGTAGATTCACCGCGGGTGGCGACATCGCGAATACTTTCTTTCGATGAAAACAAAATCTGGGATATGCGACTAAACGATCTGGGGCTTATAGAAGTCGTCATAAGGCGTAATGATTTCCACCAATCGCTGCAAGCGAGCAACAAATTGGTTGTTTGGGGTCATTTTGTTTTAACCTTTGCTTTCATTTAGACGCAATTTGTATTTAAATATAAATTATTACATGTCAGATATATGGCGTGGTTAGTATGTGATATATATATAATAACACTTTAACTTGCTGGGTTGGATGGCCGAATGGTTAGCACGTGCGCGGTGTATCATAAAGCCTGTCATTGAGTCAACTGCCGTGGTTTCGAATCCCCGGATGTACGTGATAAGGAGTAGGGTCGCCTGTCCAACCTCGTGGGTTTTCTCCAAGTCCTCCGGTTTCCCCCACTGCTAAAGACCCCTACGCGCAAGCGAATTATTGAAATGATACCAACCATACATCATTTTGAAGGTACTGAGGTGAGGAATATGACAATAAAAGTAACTCAATTTTTAAAATTTCCACAATACGACTCAATTTGCCAAATAATGAAAGGCAGTTAATCACGCAAAAATAGCTTGCTATTTCGTCTAGTTAAAGATACATTCCCGCGTACAACTGGGTGATTTGATGACATATTTGGACCAAAAACATATTCAACCTAATTAATTTATCATAATTTTGATTCAAATCCTGTCAAAACATTGTAATTGCCAAGGAAGACCCCCTGCTATAAAAATCGATCAAAAGAGGTCATGTTTGTGTCACGTGACTTACCTCTCTCGGTACCTATAGCAACGTGAGCAAAGTCAGAGGAGAATTCATTGTATACACAACACGATGTTGTCTTTAATCGCTGACTCTTTATTACAAATATCGAATCCTAATTAAATTCTTGCATTATCCACTGCCCGCGTATTATCTCAGAAAGTGCTGTACGTCTAACTCCTCATAAAGTTTATCAACATGTACACCAAGCGCTCAATCTTCGCGTGCAACCTTCGGCGTCACACGTGCAGGTAGTCCTAATCGTCGGACTGTCGATTAGGGGAACCCTTACATTTTTGTCCTGTATACGCTGCATGAGTGTTTTTCAGGGAATCCAGTATTTCTCTAGTAAGATTGAATGTCATAATTTTATTGGAAATAACCACCTGATAAATACTTTTCTAGGAACCTATCTTTAAATGGACGCGCCCGATTTTCATCACGTCGCTGGTTAGATGCGGAAAGCCCACATGCCAAAAACTCCCCACAGCCGACGTGTCACGCCTGCTCTCTTCTCTGCTACACATTTTATTAGCCTTGTGATCGTCTAGTATTGTCTCAGGTTATATTTGTACATTTTACTTAGGACTCCACTTTAAACGTTGTGAATTTGTCCTCAGCTTATAATTACAGGAATAACAATACTACAGTTCGTTTCTACATTTTTATGTAAAGCACTGGATACATAGGTTACAAGCATAGATTACAATAAAGTCATTCTCGCAATCCCACTCCCATCCAAACTCGCCAGAGCGAGTATGCTGATAGAAATTGCTACATCTACTCCCTAGACTTCTAAAATCAATTATGTGATTGGTCATTCATGCCAACTGACGTCACCTTACATACCAACAGGGATTATTACCTAATTCGGTTAACAAACACATTCCATTATACTATTAGTACCCTGACAATGAAGATGGCATATGAGAAATGTGTTTATTAACCTTATTTCAATTCATGTATCATATTATCACAGATTGTCTTGTTCCACGTGCCGTTTCGCTTGTCTATGAATCTAAACAATAAATAGCCAAGGTCATATTATTAAACATATGTGTTGTTTTGCAAAAATTGCGCCATCAAAACACAGTTAACATTTAAAAATTGGCATACGAATCACGTGCCTGAATGATATTGAGCGCCATTTGTAATGACACGACTCGATGAACTTGTCTAAACATATCTCAAGGGAGAATACTACCGATGTAGATTGGAATAACCAGGCGCCAAAGAATTCTACTCATTTGGGGCTTTTGGCGTATTTTGCCGAAAATAACTGATAAGAAATTACAGTAAAAATAGAAATGATTGAATGTAAATCAGTTTATATACATTCATATTACATTATTATATGAGTTGCGATCCATTTGTGTCTATCTCTAGGTTCCAAAGATTAAAGAATTGGCTCCTTTAAGTCACATCATGTGATGCGTATTAAAAATTAGATGAGTATCCTTGATCAAAATATTTCACTTGAACTGTAGTTGACGCTTTTTTCTTACAAAACTGTATTCCTACCCTTTCGGCACAGTTTTATTCCATTTCGACAAACGATATTTCAATTTTCAGCTCGATCGAACCTGTTAATAATCTCCGAGAAATGGTGCCCCAAGAACGACCGTCGACCAGCACTTTATCCATCTCGTACAGAATATGTGTTTTAGGGTTAGATATCATTCACGTGAAATAACAAATAATTAGGCAGGGGTTTTTTTTTGTTTCTTTTTACAGGCACAGCTGTAGCTTTCACCCGGCTTCAAATAACTGTCATCAACTTAATCATACGATAAAGACATAAAAACGGCGAACATCGAACCACGAAAAGAACAAACTGCTGGCATTGCGAACTAGCATAAAACAAACTGAAATTAAACAATTTGTGTAAACCAAGAACATAAAATTCGGACAAAATATCACAAGGCCTACTCGTGTGCAGATCTAAATTCCACATTATCCTGTTTGAATGAAACGCCATTAAAACACCAATACATGCCAACTTGCAGCAAACGGAAAACAAAAACTCTGCGACAAAAATTCTAATTAAGAAGATCCAAACTTACCAATGACATGAATCTTGATAGTTCAGAATCAGACAGTGAGCTTAGTCCATCAGATAAATCAGATCCGCAGTCTTAACAGAAAAATGCCGAATGAATTGAAAGGAAAGTTCAATAATTCACAATCATATCAAGATATTAACGTTGTCCCCACTCAACATGGGACATTACAACATGAAAACATTTGCGTGTTTAGTGTTGTGAGGGAGCAGTTACCAGAGGAGGTAAACAGTTGTGAAACAGAATTAAAAGAAAGGATTGAAAATGTCAGAATCATCACACTTCGGTTTCTCCGATTCATCCTAATTTCAAAATGCATTTATGTTGAGTTACCAGGCTACCCCAGCGTGTACGTGTAACTTTGGTGGCCTACCAATTTAAGTATTTAAGTGCTTGCAGTAGCCTACCAAATTAAGAATTTATGTTGAGCACAGTAGCCTACCAATTAAAGAATTTAAGGTTTGTAAGATTCAATGAATGTGTTGATGGTCACAATATAGTTTGCTGTAACTCTATGCAAAGACAGCATGCGGATGGCTTTTATGAATTAATAACACTAAACCATACTTGACTATGTGATTAATTTACATACACCTATGGTTATGACATTGTTGCAAGGGAGTGACCTAGTTATTTTGATATCGTATGCTGTCAGTTTAGACAGTATCGTCCAGTACTAAGTATTTATTTCACCATATTATAGTGCATTAAACATGCATTATATTCATTATTGCCTTCGGTATGCATTGATGATGTCAAAAGTACTGATATATTTGGATTCCTTGTTGAATTCCCTTTCCAGCAACACGAAAATTATTGACCCACTCGTTGCTGAGATATTGGAGTCTAAAGTGTGAAAATCACGTCCGTTTTTACTAAAATTGATATATCTGTTTTTTCTTTCAGAATAATGATTTATAAATGGGAGAAGAGTATAATATCACAGATGTATCAGCATATAGTTTAGAGGTGTGAATTCTCTCTTCGGATATAACAGACTTCGAATGATTCTTCAATTCTTTAATATACCGGAACATAAATATACATATATATATCGTCATACAGTACTGACAGGCCAGTTACTGCATTTAGTAAGGGATCCTAACTAGTGACTGCCATCAATGTACAAATTTGGTTATATTTAAAGAAAATTAGATAATAGGATAAAGGTAAATGTTGTAATTAAAACTGACATGTCGATAGATGAACAATGCATAAAAGATAAAACAATATAATAAATCAACAAAAACAATAGATGGGATTAACGTCGTTACCCAATGACAGCTTGAAATGGGTGACAGATTAACGACCTACTAGCCAGTTGATCTTAAAGTGGTTAATTTAAGAAATATTAATTATCTTAGCGATTGGCAGATTATCACACCATTATAATAGTTGCTGTACTATAGCGGTTAGTATGTGCATTCGTTCTGGGCTGAGATACATGGGGTTTCGATGAGATGACTGGATTGAGAATGACAAATGTAGGTTTATGTGTTAGAATTACACAGAGGGGGCTGTTATAATGTAAGTTTAATACATGTAAAGCAATGAGCTGAACGGTACTGAATGATTTGACAATCTTAATTACAATGTAGATTAATTAATATTCGTACCTGTAGTATAGTACCTTACTGACCTGATCATTTAAAGGGCTTACGGCTCAGACTCAATATTATACCGAGTCTTCGGGAGAACTAATACAAATGATTGGTCCATTCCTATCAATAGTGATGTTGTTATCTGATATGCAATATTTAAAACACATTGAACAATTATAAAACACGCGTGTACTTTTTCCCCTCCGATGTAATTTGCAATGGTACGCCTTGATGACATTTTATCTACTTGATGAGTGAGAGAATGGGGTTTAACATCCACACGCCTTGATAAATGAGGCTAAACGTCAGTGCGTAAGTTAAATGTCAAACCGTTTAAACTGGATTAACAAGGCCCGGGCGACTGTCATTCAATTTGAACTGCTCACTTATTTCGATGAATGTAAATCAGTTCACGTACATTCATATTACATTAATGTGTATTATTTGACCGATTTTAGTTCCCAAAGAATAGAGATTTAGCTCCTTTCACGTCTTCTTCTACAATAGTGTTATCACATACATTTGTTATTAGGGTCTTTATTAGAGAGAGAGAGAGAAAGAGAGATGGGGTTTAACGCCCACTCGACACAACTAGGTCATTTCGGGACTAACATATCGTTTAATTTTATTTCAATAATTCGCTTGCGCATAGGGGTCTTTAGCAGTGGGAGGAAACCCACGAGGTTGGTCAGGCGACCGGGGTCTTTATTGTATCCTGTCCCAATTAAATGTAGAAAATCTACAGGATATGCCTTGACATTTGGATAATATAGTGTTCATAGCCATAATATGTTGTTTCATATTGATATACAAGTCTATTTGGGAAAAGGCTGCAATTTAGAATGTTTATTACAACAATTCATGCATCCCCCGAGAATACCACGTATTGTATGACCTGATATAAAGGTCAACAATGTCCCGTGTTCATCTGTGATGAATAGAATAATGAATTGCGGAATACGTTTCACTCTATTAATAAAGCATGACAACACCACGATAATACTAAATATTATTTGCATTTTTGTTTACACACTGGTGCTTTTTTTTTATGTCCACACGTAGTTTGGGTGTGGGGGTTGGATGGCCGAATGGTTACCACGTGTGCGTTGTATCATAAGGTTTGTCATTGAGTCAACTGACGTGGTTTCGATTCCCCGGTTGTACGTGACAAGGAGTAGAATCGCCTGTCCAACTTCGTGGGTTTTCTCCCGGTCCTCCGGTTTCCTTCAACTGATTAAGACCCTACGCGCAAGCGAATTATTGAAATAAAATTGAACCATGTTAGTCTTGAAATGACCTAGTTTGTGTCGAGTGGACGTTAAACCCTATTTCTCTCTGGTTAAAGAGATAGAGGCTCGAGTTTTTGACAGATGTTTATAAAATAGGGTGCGATGATTGCAAACAATGAGAGAATGGTTCTTATTTTCAGTCTTTTGCGACATTTTGATCAAGAGTTATTTCCCCTGTCATTCCAACGGGAATATTTCTTGTTCTCTCGATAGAGGCTAAATTGTTTGAGGCTGTTGGAAGAATTGCTGTCATGAGAGAACGAACTCGATCGATTCACAGCACTCTGCTACCTACCATTTCGGAGTTATCCCCCACCCCCTTGTCCGAAAACGTTGTTAACATGATAGAGGCTACATATTGTAACCCGGTTAAATTTTAGCAATCTAGGACTTTCTGTTCCAGAATGCGAAGAAAAGATTGTAATCATCCCTTGGATAAGCTGTAGTTCGGGCATAGCTGTTACGTGGGCGATTTGCGTGGCTATCTGTTATTTTCCACAGGAAAAGAGTGTTCGAAACATTTTCCAATGGAAAATTTCCGAATATTATTTATTATTCTTGGACAAGATTGGCTAGGCTTTAGAATCTGTTTACTCCCTCAGACCTAGTCCCAAATCACATATCATCTGAAATATTTTTGCGACTACGGCGCCAAAAGCTCAGTCTCATAAATATTTTACGTAGCTCTCTGAAATTATTTCGCTACTACGGCGCTCGATTCCCTTATACCATCGTCCTACCACTCCTGATCTGATCTGTACTCTCTCATCACTATCATATTCACGGTTATAGTGAACCGCCCAGTTAGTAGTACAACTAGTGCGTGGAGCGACAGACTGTACAAATATACTGTTTACTCTCACAAAGCAGGCGGAATTGACAGGCAGATCTCAAGATTCTGTCCCATTTCTGATCCTCTTGTCCACAAACATATGCTCCAAACTATGACCTCAAAAGCCAAGATATTGACCCAAAAATTTTCTCAGTGGGAGATTCCCCAAGACCCCCACCCCCTTCAGATTGCTCAGTTTTATAGTCACTGTTCTAAGGCTGACAAAAAAATCAATAACAATCATAATGTGACATCAACTTTATGTCAACTGAATAAAACTGCTTTTTGGCGAGATAATCATCGGCGTACAACTATATAGGCAATACGAGCTATACCGGATCGCTCAGACAGTGTTATAGCCAGTATTTTGTTGACATTCGTTGTGGGGTACGATTGTGAATGGCTCCCTAGATTTGGAAGTGCCCCCACCCCCATACACTGCTTCTATATCATCTACTGCTAACAGGTCCACTTTGCACCTAGGGCGCACCACTTTAATTGCCTTAAATATGCCGTGAAGACTGTTTTCTAGTCACTTTCTCACCTATGGCACACCACTTGACATCCTTTAAATGCAGTGATTTGCCGAAAATCGTTTCCCAGTCGCATATAGCCTATGGTTGAACATAACCAAGGGTCAATCCAGGCCCGGTCTATCCAGCATGTCACATAAATTCTGTATAATAACATTTTCTTCCGGACAACCTTGCATACTATTTTTTTTTATCGTAACCACACCTGGTACTTAATATTTAAAACTGTTTACGTTTTACGTTTAAATTATACGCTTTGGGCACATGAAACTATATACTAATTGTGCGTATTAAACTATATTAAGTGGGCACATCTATAGATATACTAAGATGTCATCTGCTAAACGTAACAAGATGAAGGTCATGGCGTCGTTTTTCTGTTGTGTATGGTGGGTATTTCCAACCACTAGTATACTCGAATATACGGCCGACATGTTTTGATAATTTTCATCGCTTTCCGCGAATTTTGGTTACTTTTAGTATGTTGCGCATACATGAGTACTGGTTTGATTACTGAAAATAAATCTTGAGATGTAATTTGCTGCAGTTTATACACTAAATTGAAATATTTAGACCCGAGATCGTCCAGGAGACTTCCTGTGTTTGACCCAAAATTATTTGCGCATCTGTAACTATTATTTACTCTTTGAGTCCCACTGAAATCGCACCAGAGTTCTTAAAGATACAAGTATTAACCCATGGGTATTAACCCATCACTGTGCCTCGACATTTCTACATGTAGTCCCTAACGATGACCATCTTATAGTTCTGTTGTTTCGATCACACACTTGTAGGTGACATGGCAACCCTTTTTTCTTATTGATCAAAGGGGCTTGTCGTACAAATTTATCACTCTCGTTTTCATACATCAATAAATTAAAGTCACGATTTCTGAATTAACAATTACATTATTAATATCGTTAAAATATTCAATAAAATGAAACAGATGTTCTCTACATATGAATGAATACATTTCTATGCTAGGAAAAGGTATTATTATCGTTAAAATATTCAGTAAAATTATTTGAATTATTTGAATAAGTACATTTCTATGCTGAAAAAAGGTATTATTATCGTTAAAATATTCAATAAAATGAATCATCAGTTATTCTCTACAATTATATGAATGAGTACATTTCTATGCTGGGAAAAGATATACATATTTACTACTAGAACTAAAAGTGTTGTAACTGTGTAGATAAAAGATTGTGTCGTTAGATCGTAATGGATGTCATCATCTTAAGCGCAATACTCACTTGCACAGCAAAACACTGGCTCTGTTGCTATGCGCGCTGAAAAACACAAGAAAATTTCGGTTTGCAATAATTGTTGGGTAACAATATTCTAGTCAATACATGAATATGTCTGTTGTTGGGTGGGGATGGGGGAGTCCTTATTCGTATATCAAGAAATACTGAATTTACACCATACCTAATTCGGACTATTTTAAGCTCCCATAATCAGTATTGTTCTATAGTTTAATTAGACATATAAAATGTATGCTCTTTAGCAAGAGCAAACGGAATACTTTGGATTCAATAATGATAAACTGAATGCACTGAATGAAGATGACACGAACAAGGAAGCTTAAATAAAATAAAATGAAATGCGGGTTAAAACTATATGCCAAAACCTGCAAGAACTCGAGCGAAAACCCTTCAAATGATTGACATGTAAATCTATATTTTTATAAGGTTTTTACTTATATGGGGAGATAATCACGCATTCTTGCGGGGTATTAGACATGTCCTACTTGATTGAAATATTCAAATTGAATTTGGGGTATGACGCAGATTTAAAATTGATACATTATAATTGTGAAATATACAATATACAAATGGAGTGTTACAATTGAGAAAACATCAATTGCTAAAAAGACACCAATCGGCATACTGAGGATAGCGTTCTTAAGGGATATTTCTTGTGCCAGTGCAAGATTTCTGTTCCTTCAAAAACTGCATGTCCAATATTTTGAAATTTACATCTCACCTGCACGCCTTTGTCTGTTTTCTGATGTGTACGGCCGAATATTAATCATCCAGTGTGACGTCACATTTCTACAATGATCTGCGATTTCAGCACCAGCAAATTTTCTCAGAACGTCTTGATTGATTGGCTCTGGTGTGTAGTCAAAACGAACCTTCGGTGGAATTCTGTCATTGCCCTAATATCAAGATAGCAATGAAATTTGTGAACATAAAATAGTCTCTGTTGTCCAGTGTATTATGATATTGTTTCCCCAAATTATTCACTGAATTCAATAGTTTTTCGCGTACATGTATATTGCTCTTGTGTTGTCCATATACATATCTGACCAGTTATGGTATCTATTTTATTGTATATAGTGCAGGCCACTCGAATCTCTCCCATAAGTGTTAAGGCCTGAGCGAAGTTTGCTGCTAACATAAAACAATCTCTAAGAAATGAATTGGGGTTTAACGTGCTACTGCACCGGCTGGGCTAATAAAGACGTGCATACGGCATATACAGTGTGTATGAAGGGAAAATGTCGTTATGACAGTCTTATTTCGTTTTTCATATGTCAAAGACTTCTTTTACATGTGACTTCGGTTTTCGTCCAATCCGAACTACTGTACGATATGCCTTGTCAGACTCTGCGCCCTACACCACTGACAAGGGTGTACCATGGTGGAAAATCCCAAAAACGAACAATGGACGCCCTGCTTAGCGAGCCAACGTTTTATTAACTGAGGCACCGCGACTCCCCAATCTAGCACTTACCTTATGGTATCTTAGTTCCCAAGGTTAGCATTCTTTTAGTTAGCAAGTAATGTAATATTTGCGATGTCAGTGTTTTGTTTCTATGAAATGAAATCGGGTTTAACGTTTTTCTGTTCTGCTCCGACTGGCCTAATGTAGACGGAACATTTTTTATAAATTGTCGTCTTTTGTCCTCTACATTCCAGAGGGTTTAACGTCCACTCGACACAAACTATGTCATTTCGGGACTAACATATTCAATTTTATTTCAATAATTCGCTTGCGCGGAGGGGTCTTTGGAAGTGGGACGAAACTGGAGCACCCGGAGTAAACCCACGACGTTGGACAGGCGACCCTACTCCTTGTCACGTACATCAGGAATTCGAAGCCACGCCAGTTGACTCAATGACAAACCTTATGATACAACGCGCTAACCATTCGGCCATCCAACACCTCCAAAAGTAAGAGTTCACTGTGAAATCGCCCGTTTGTAAAAGACAGTTTTACCACGACGCTGACATGGTCGAATGAAAAAAAATAATATTTTTTTACTCACGGCATGAGATGACCAAGATTTCAGACCTTCATCAAACGTTTGATCAAGGCGATCAATGTAACATGTGTTAGTTCTCAAATCATAAAAAGCCAGAAGTTTCTGAAAAATATAAGTTATGTAGATGTACAATTTTGAGGAAACGGTTACAATATAAAAGATTTCTATATAGATATATGGATCTCTAACAAAATGTATATCCGAATTTGATCATTGGTTTTTAAGAAGAAAAAGAGGCGTTTTTTTCTGTGCAATAGTTCCATTGTAACACCCTTGTTGTCCTTTTACCCCTATACTGAACATTAGGGTGTAAAAGATAATAACAGCTTTATGGATAACATTCACTAGGTTTATGATAACGTTGAGCGTACCCTCATTGAAACGTTGCAGTTAATCATAACGACGTCTTTTGTTATGTATCTCTTTCACTAAATGCCCTTTAAAGATAGTGTACAGGCTAATAATAAAAATGTGTTAGGTATGTGGCATCCAGTGTGAGTACACGAGAATTCTTTGTTCTAAGTAGGATGTACAAGTAGTTTCGATAATCGGGTGATAGGGTTATTTCAAAATAATAATTCAATCTGTCTCCTTAAACTAAAATATGTACAAAACGGCCTGTTATCTGACGGCTAGGATCACAGTATCTCTCAATAACATGGCAGCATTCCTAATATATGTTAACGTATTCAAGATTCAGGAACAAAGACTTATTCATGGCATAACGAGAATACTTTTAAAAACTTACTCGGTCATAGTTGTGAAGAGCATTCAGAGCATCTATTGGTCCAACCTGTTTATTGCTGACATAGATCAATTCCTTCTGGTAATCAACATGAATATTTTCTGGTATATTGTATCCATCCGCTATGGCTGTGGCTTTGTATTCCTATTATTGGAGACGAATAAAGAACTGTTGTGGAAATCTTCCCAGATGGACGAAATGAATTAAATTTGTGGAAATGCCCCCTATATATGGTACGAATTGATTTCCCAGTAAAATCTTACAAAGTTGAATTGTGATTGTCATCGGGTAACAAGAAATATTATACATGCCGAAATTCATATTAGAAAGCCATGATTCCCACTTCCAATATGTTAGCTTTACGTTAACAATTTATATCTTTTGTTTAGTATAGTACAATGCACCAAGGTGGGGAATATAACGTAAACTATAATGTTCTTTCTTGAAATTAGCTGCCCCGTCTATCAATTATATTTCAACTATTCGTTAATTTTAGTCTCTATCATCCAGAACAATATTCTACGAATATTAGTCTGGATGCGTTGTCAACATTTGAGAATAATATGTCATCGGCTAGGTTATCAGGTCTTTGACATTATCATAGACAAAGTCTAAGCAAGGTAACTTGACCTAAAACAAGATGTTGACGCCCATGACATTAATTTAAGAATGCCATTTCAAAAAATCCATTTGATTGCATTGCCAGTTCAATATCCAACACTCTTCCTTTTTTTACTCTAAAATTTCTCTCTTCATGGGCCATATATATATATATTTTTTTTTTAAAATTAATCCTAATTCGTCGTCACGGGTCTTGTTTGTTTATATATATATTAATGCAAGAAATATGGGACTTCTTGCAGGAAGGGGCGCAACTCTTACTTGACTTTGTCAAATATACTGGATAATCAACCACATTAAAAACCAAACTCATGGTTTACGCATGGGCAATGGACTTTCCGTCAAATATTGACAACGGTCCCAGACCGTACGTTGAAGACTAGGGGATTCTGGGTGACCGAGACTACATTAATTTAAAACCTGGCTTTTTCAGTAACTAACAACTGAAATGAAATCTGAATTAAAATAAAGAAGTACATGTATTTCGCTGTTCTTGATACGATATATTAATTTGGAAACCAATTATATGTATTTCAAATCTATAATTACATTACATGTATATATAATAAATGTCGATTCCATAAATAATTTTAAATATATCTTTAATTTACCTCTTTACTAAAAAGATGGCGATTGTATGCCACAGAACCAAATGTAGTAGCAGCAATAATAAGAACTGCCACAACTAAACATGTTGATATTATACACACACGATGAACGGAGCCGCTAGAGCTTATTATTTCTACATCCTGAAACTGGAATAACCTCTAACTCAATATCATCAATAATATTCTAAATTGAAAACACAAATTCAATATTGACCCATTGCACTCAATATTGATATTGTTGTCTAAACCGGAAAATATGTTAAAAATTGAAGTGTAAATCACATTCTATACATTTTACAGTAATATCTGTTTTTAAGGTTCTAATGAATCGAGTCCGTAACCATACCATGGTCGACCATTTTATATGAAAGTAATAGCCACGAAGACACACTTATAGAATCATAACGTATATAACAAAAACACAATAAAATAAAGAAGAGCACACACTTTATAAAGTAATTGAATGACATATCTACTTTTGAACTATTAAAGCAAGAACGACCAACTCTTTATCTAAATCTTGCACAATGCATTTTTAAACTGCCTCTTCCCCCAAAAAAACAAAACAAACCCACCCACAAAAACAAAGGTATAATTTCTTACATAATAGAACATTTTATCAAACAATATCACTGACGATAATTATGTTGAAAGTATAAAATTCAAATTACCTTTGGTTTCGATTGCAGATTCGACACAAGTGGTGACATGGCTAACACTTTCTTTCGGCATACACAAAATCTGGGATATGCAACAAAACGACCTAGCTAAGGTTTATATATAATCCGACAAGGATGATGGCGTGTTTTTGTTTTATAAATGACTTCTACCAATCACTGCAAGCGAGCTAAAATGAGGTTGTTTTCCTGTACCCGCTATTTTGATTTGTATCAATTTAAAATTTCCATAAATCGCTGCAAGCGAGCTCTGAATTATACTAAAACCGACCTAAATGTGTAATCATACTTTCGCAAGTTGAGAATTTTTTTTGTAACATTCTGACTTATCTAAAGTCAGGTCACCCGGTCAACCAGAATTATCTTCTGTATTGACCGGTTGAACAATCCGCATTTAATATGTCACTGTATTTCTGTTTTTTGTTTGTTTGGGGGTTTTTTTTGACAATTTTCAGAGACTTCTCTAGTACACAAAGCAGTTTTCTCTTGATGTCTGCGTGTGTTTACGGAGTTGACGTCTTTCAGCAATTAATAATGGGAGATGGTGAAGGATGCTTATTCGGGGTTTCAAGTATGTCGCCGAATGACATCCATCCATTGAGATTCTGCAAACGCTAAATCTCTAAAACATAGTGTAGATGTTCTCTCCGATGAGACTTGAAAAGCTAGCTATCCGCCCCTTATCTTCTACTGACTCAAAAGCTCTTCGCCTGTTTTAGAAAACGTAAAATTAATATTTAAAATACGTGAGTGATTGACTGATTTATATTTATAGCCATTTTATACCACAATTTGATAACTGTAATGTCGTATACGTTAACGTGTTATATGCGGTTAGATCGCAATACTGAGTTTGTATACCAGTGTGCCACGTCTTGGTAATTTTTATTTTAGCCCACACATTCCATCCTTGAGGCATTGCAGTTTGGACAGTACCCCATCTTCATTTAGCCTTGATGGAGCAGAAATGTAGGATGTAATTCATATTTCATTTCGACAGTACCACACGATACGTCATAACATTCAAGTCCTCCTACACCCAGAAGATACACATTTATTCAAAATTTAAAATAACAAGAATGAATTTATTGATAAGTATATCAAATATCAAGGATGGTCTTGCATGACATGATATATGGGTGAACAATACTGTCAACAATATAGTAAATAATTGTGTGATATGTTCGACTCTATTAGTAAAGTATTATGACGAACAAACACAACAACAATACTAGAAAGTATTTACAGTTTTAGCTTAAAAAATGATAATTTTATTATTTTGACCTGTAGAATATGTAAAATAGTTTTTTCGCGGCAAGTTGACATCGTAAAATCCTTAAAAATCAGCATTTTGGTTCTTCGCCATTATTGATTTAGATTACTCATAAAGTGTCAAAAGAATCAGTCCACCACTCACAATTACACTGACCATATACGGGTGATTGCAGGCACTAGACATATAATAATTTAGAGTTTGTAACAAAGGGGACCAACACCGGGATTGATCATAAATTCCATTGTAGAAATAAAATCTCAAATGTATCAATTCATTAATTTCTTTCTTAATCCGATTAAAACACAGATCCTATTTCATTTCGTTTTTTAAAAGTATAAAAAAAAATTAATAAAGATCTGTATTTTAATTAGATTGTTTATTACTTAATAAAGAAACTTTATAACAAAAGAGTTAAATGTTGTTCAACATAACGCCATGCTTAATTAAACCAACTATTCTCGTTAAATATTTCGGGAGCCACGGTGGCTAAGTGAATAAGATGCAGGCTCGCTAGTTTGGAGGTCGCGGGTTCGCTCCGGGTGTTGACCGAGAAAGTTCATCGGTGGTTTCCCCTCGTCAGTGGTGCAGGACGGGGAGGATCTGACAAGGACAGCTGTCTAATCGTTTGGATGATATGGAAAACCAAAGTCCTGTGTACACATTGACGTGCACGTAAAAGATTCCCTGGCAGTTGGAGTTCGATATAGTTGTACGTCATAGCGCCGATGTGCGGGCAAAATTCGCCTACACTGCATGGCGAATGCCCACCTTCATTAGCCCAGTCGGAACAGAGCAGTATGACGTTAAATTCCATGCATTCATTAAATGATAAAGAGGGCAAATTAGAGTAAAAAATATACAGATGTGTTGGTAAACAGGATGTGAAAATGCAATGTACCATGAATACAGATTAGAAAATGACTAGAAGGTATTTAACTTTAAATTATGACAACCCATTTATTGTTCAAGTTAAGAAAGCATACACACACCCGGATCAAACATAATCACCATCCGCATGGAAATACAGCCCACAGGGCAGCTATACCCCGACAACAAAGATAGCCTCAGACAACATCCTGAATGTGGACCAAATTTGATACAAGTGCCATCTAATCAAGAAATCTGATCTATATTGTATTCACAAGCTTTGTTTTATGAAAAAGGGGTGTAATTGGTTTAATATACTTACAAGGTGACGACCAGAAAAAAGAAACATGACAAAATGTCATGTAATTCATCTTAAAGGGCGTGTGGTTCTATTTTTTTAACCTTGACATAGACAACCAGCGGCTGCCAGGCAGGATACGCCCACATTTTCGAGAGATGGATAGAGAACAAGCTGAAATGAAATGAAATGAAATGGGGTTTAACGTCCTACTGTTCTGCTCCTATGCTGGGATAATGAAGACGGGCTAAAACGAAAGTGATTTTTCCTACAATCAAGGGCCATAATTCAGGAAATTACAATTCGATATGCGCAAATATCGAAAGGAACCGAGATCTTTGGGTTATAAACTTACATTTCAAGTTTCAACAAAATCGGATACAAATTGTGACCTCTATAGGGTCCACAACCTTTTTATACCATATTTTTACGCTATTTGAGAACGAGGGGCGGCCATTTTGTCTGTCAGTTTTGGGCCGATTTTCACGAAATTCAAACTCAGTCGTCCTTAAGGTGTAACGGTGATATAATAATACGGTCTTTTAAATCGGATAAAAAATTATGACCTCTATAGGGTCCACAAGCTAAAAACGCGATTTATCGTACAATCAGGGGCCATAATTCAGGAAGTTACGGTCCGATATGCGCGAATATCGACAGGAACCGAGATTTTTGGGTTATAAACTTACATTTCCAGTTTCAACAAAATCGAATAACAATTGTGACCTCTATAGGGTCCACATGAAAATGTGGGCGTATAAAAAAGGGTTCTAAGAGCGCATATTAATGGTTAATGTATGTACAGTGATCTATATTCAATTTTTGAAAAAAAATATTGCAATTTCTTATCATTTATGAAACACGTGCACAGTTCAGATTCAACGACAGTCGTTTACACCCGCTTAGTACATTCTACACGTTTTTAAAATTATTATTTTGGAGTTTGTGAATCAGCCATTACTAATTACTTCCACATTGTGGTGTAGGATATGTTTTATTTGTTCATTACATAATGGAACCCAAAACCATAGGATACGCGACTCGTGTATTGATTTGAAAAAGGGTTAATTGTATCTTAAAGATTGGATATTAGGATCCTAGTTTCAAAACACGATAACAACACCGATATTAAATAAAACTGATCAATATTGAATTCTAATGCTCGAAAATATTGAGACAAGAAACATTAATAGATATATGCATATGAAAAACTATCCATCTTCAACAAATTCTTTTGAGAGAGAGAGAATAGGGGTTTAACGTCCACTCTACACAAACTAGGTCATTTCGGGACTAACATATAGTTTCATTTTATTTCAATAATTCGCTTGCGCGTAGGGGTTTATTTAGCAGTGGGAGGAAACCAGAGGACCCGGAGAAAACCCACGAGGTTGGACAGGCGACCCTACTCCTTGTCTCTTTTGAAAGAATAACTACATGTAATCTGACTAAATATATACAAATACATTTTCTATTTTGTCTGGAACGACATTCTACAATGTGATTGTCTTTCCCTTTAATATTTTTGATTTCAAGATTTTACCCTTGTAATGTTTAAACTCTCGGTAGGCCCTGATGTATGTTTTTCGGTTTATGAATCTAGACAAGGAAGTTATGACACGTAGACGCAGCTTAAATTTCAAAATGTTTTGAGGCAAAAAGTAAAGATAAACATTTTTTTTCTTGTAGTGGCATATACCCTCTCTCGGGCCATTGAAATGTGACCTTTTTACTCAATAGCCGAGTTAAGTTGCAGGGTAAGCTCCAGCGGCCGGTACTTGGTTGTTATAAAGTCCATTTCCAATAGATATAAAATTATTTTCTTATACTATCTTTATTTCGTCAGAACTATCTTGTATGAATACTACTGCTTAACCACTTTTGTTGTACGGAGTTTAAAATATTAAAAAATGTTGTCTGTCCTAGAACAAATGCTTATTTTCACATACAATGTTCTCTGTATCGACGTTTTGTATTTTTTTTCAGTAATGTGTGATGATTTCTCATCCGCAGATCGTAGATTTCGGACATTTGAGGCTGTGCTAGTCGGAGCGTTAAATTTCAACTATACCTACATGATTTACATTTACATTGCCATTTGTCAACGTATTTATAGGACACAATTATATTATTTACGCCTGTCAATAAGATAAGGGTCAAATTATTAGCCTAAAGTGGTGTCCAATGTATAGGAGCTTTTACGGGTTTCCCTTTTGACGTCATTTTCGGTCATGCGCAGAACCTGGCCTTATTCGAAGACTGAAATCCATAGGTTATTGTGTGCTTTTTTTTTGTGAAAATACCGTCGTACAGTAAGCTTGTTCTACATAAAACGAAACCGATCGCCATTTCTACATACGTGTAAGGTTTACCGACCGATGTCAGAAACCGATATTGACAAAAACTTCGATGTAGAAAAGATACGGCAAGTTTACCAAACCCGTAATGGCCGTATGCAATTGAGGAAAACAAGTGGATGACTGATCCGTGCTCATGGCGCGAACTAGAATTTGGTCAGGTGTATTACGCATTTTACGACCAAACAGATGTTATCTATTAATTACAGGACTATTAACACAAAAGATTTAAATGGTCTACCCTATTTACATTCAACTGCCGGCTGGACAGTACGTGCGAGGTCGTCTGCTTTT